AATCTTTGGGTTCCTTTAAATCAGAGCTAAATAAGATTTTAACAACTCTGAGCTATTAGTTAAGTTCTCCCCAAGTGAGCTCGATGGGCCGAATGGCCTCCTCTTGTTTGTATAGTTCTTATGTTCTTATACCGTCCAGTCTGTCGACAGCCATCCAGGAGAGTCTGCAGCTTCTGTATTTTCAGCTTTCCGGCTGTCCGATGCCTGCCAACATCTATTTTGACCTGATTGTAAGGGAATATCTCAGGCATCCAGAACTGCAGGGCTTCAAAATTATAAAACACAGAGAAGTGGAACATTCGACCAGAAAACATCCTCATTTCCTCCATAATTAAGAGACTACAGCTGACACAATCGGGTTCGTAATGAGTGCTAGTCTCGTTTAATGATTAGAAGACGCTCCAAAATCTGCGAGGGCCTTGAGCTCACGGGTCATGTGACCGGTCAGCAAGGGACTATGGTCACTGCCCAGCTAATTACTGCTCATTACAGAAGCCACTATTTTAAACCAACTGAAGGACACAGGAGCTTCATCCCAGGAGGACAGGGTACGGCTCTAGTAAAATATCCAGCTATACAAATACAGACGCTCCTCTACTTACGAACTTTCAGACATACGAATGAAGAGAACTGTAAGTCCAAATTGTGTTCCTTGGGCTCCCGTTTCCTGTTCGCAACATCGATTTTTTTTTCTGCACGCCAATTCCGCCTCGTATGACTTCTGGCCGCTACTCCCGCCGCGCAGCAGCGTAGCGTACGTACTCCCAGCAGCGTAGCGTGCGTACTCCCAGCAGCGTAGCGTGCGTACTCCCAGCAGCGTAGCGTGCGTACTCCCAGCATCCTAGTTCTTTATACTTGCGTAAACCCTTAAAATGATGTTGTATAATGACTTACAAACATTTCAAGTTATGAATGGCCTTTCGAAACTCATTCGTAAGTAGAGGAGCGTCTGTATGCAGAATGGCACATTGCCTTTGATAGGTGCACTGATTAAACAACACTGATATATTACATTAGAAGCAGAGCCTTTACAGTTGTAGCACTCTTGGCACTCTTAGCCAAGAAGATCTCAGTAAAATGTAGGTAGTTCACACTGTCTACTCCACAGTGGGTTCTTTTGGGTTCACCTGGGCTATTTATAACCCTGGGCTGGTACCTTAATGCTCTCTGTGTTATTCATGACAAGCCATTTCCGAGCTGAGTGGCTTCCAGAGTCACACGCTTTTACAATCTGATAGTTTATCAGCTGTTGTGGGGAAAAAAAGGGGGCGTCAGGTAATTCCAGAGATCTGATCTCAGATCATTAGTCAGGGACCCAATGCTGCCGCTGCATGTATCTGGCACTTCACTCATGTGGGATTTGGCTGAAAGTCAAGTCATTGTATCCATGTTTGCGTAACTGAAGTCCTTCCTTTGGTTTGCTGTGCTCCACTGATACAGTAACAACAGTATTCATGTCCACAGTGTCGCTGGTTTGAAATATTTCAGCTATGGTTTCCCAGTCGGGTCCTCGGAGACCCACAGACGGTCCACGTTTTTGCTCCCTCGCAGCTCCCTGCCAGTCAGTCTACATTTCTGCTCAAAGCAAAAACATGGACTGTCTGCGGGTGCCCGAGGACCGGGGTGGGAAACACTGTTGTAGACGTCTTATGAGAAGGTTATTAAGACTCAGATTGGTAAAAATCTCCTCTCTCTGTTCTTACTGTGGGTTCTAGTAAGAGTGATTAGTTGTCATTGTTGACTAAGCCACAGCACACAGTAATGAAATGTGTCCTCTTCATTTAACCCATATGTGACATCGCAGGGAGAAGCTAATTTGGCACCCAGGGAGCAGTGCGTGGGGACAGTACCTTGCTCAGGGTACCTCAGTGGTACCTTGCTGGTCAGCAACCTTCCAATTACAAGCACTAACCATTAAGCCACCACCAAAGAGGAGTGGGGAATGGTGGCCGACCGTTAAGCTGCAAGGGATTGTGGTGATTTTATCCTAATGAATATTCTTAGGAGTAGGATTAAGGAACCTCCCTGCCCCCCAGAGTCCCCACGAGGTCTCGCCCATCCCGTCTCTCACCGTCGCCCCCCCGGGGGGTGGCCTGCTGCACCATGGCCTCCTCCAGGCTGCCGATGACGCTGTTCTTGTCCCGGAGCCGCTGGCGGTAAGAGGCCCGGAGGGCCCGGACCTGCCGCCTGTGCCGGGTGCGGCGCTGCTCTAGCTGAGAGCGGTACCGCTCAGCCTGCTGCTGCAGCTGCTGTAGGTGGGCGTACTGCTCCAGGAAGCTCAGCAGGTGTGACATCACCACCACCAGCGGGGACTCGGGGACCTGAGCCACGCACAGCCCTGTGTCAGCTCACCCCACTGGGGCATCAGAGACTGAGCCCACATCAGATTCACTCCATGTGTTACTGCTATTAGGCGATCGCTGCTCCACACCGCCCCCTAGGCTCCAGGCCCAAATAAAATCTATGAATAATTCTGGGTACCTTTCCTCCGTGCTCCAGTGAGCCCTGGGATCCTGTCCTCCGATCCGCTTCCTGCTTGAAAGACAGAAATGCGGCCAGAGGGGTGCTGGCAGCAGCCCCCGGGTCTTGGTCGCCATCATCATCATCTTCTTCCTCATCACTGAGACCATCGCTGTCACTGCTACTGCCTGCATAGCGACAAAGCTGTCCTATCATCTCCCTGTCAAGTTATTCGCTGATTAGCTGAAACATACTGATATATGGGTTAGAAACCTGGCAGAAACAGAGCAATAGATTAAAAATTCATACTTCATTCACATGACAGCTGGCAATAACATTGGTGCTGAACAGACACATACCCCCAGAGTCACTGGACCTGTCAAACCCTCTTTGTGCCAAACTGGGGGTGTGGCCATTTCTGCTCTGTGTTTCCATGGAAACATGCCTCGTCTCCATATCATTCTGTGAGAGGATGCATGGAGAAAACGAATAAACATCTAACACCAGATATGAAATAAAACGATCAGACTTTACTGACAAACACCACGACACCGGAATATTCCTCGGCGAAATATGCAAGCCATACATTTTCTATCAGTCAACTGTGACTTTTATGGAATGAGATGAATACGTTACAGAAGAACTTTCCCTGATTGGACGTCTCGTGGGGATCAGGGCCTTACAGCCAAACATACCTGGTCGCTGGCTCTGTGAGGTCCCTCCCCCTCTAGGGATAACTCCTCCTTCTTGAAGACCGTGTAGAAGATATAGACCAGCAAAGAGTAGAAAGCATACATTGCCACGAAATTTTTAATTCCCCCAGAAGACAGTGGCAGTCATTAAAAGAATGAAAGCATCTTAGCTCAGCACCAGAGATTTTTTCTGAGGAGTTTAATAGTAACAACACTAAAAAAATAAGGAAAATAAAAACGACTTCTGCATTGCAAAATCTTGACCTGGAAATTGGCCTCGGAATCAGTTACCAGTCCCAGTGGTCACTTGCTCCATGAGACTCATGTTCATTTTCATTAAGGTGACCAGCAGATTATTCTTGGTCCAGATGCTTGTTTCTGAGGTCGTATCTCTGTTCCTCTACCCGCTCTCAGCTGGAAGTCACACTGACCTGATGTACCCATCCGCTTTACCGCTCAGAAGCGCCGCATCCTTTCGGACCAGTGGTCTCCCTCGCGTCCAGCGACTGTGCCCCAATCCCCCGGCTTCGTATCTTCTCTGCCCCGACAGCAGAAATCCCACAGAGTCCCCCTCCCTCACTGTACTGCTGACAGCTCTGCTGGCTTCAGTGAAGCCCCCCCTCCCCCCAAATAATCCATAAAAAGGTTGCTGCTACAGAGCATGCTCAGTGCGCTCCCTCTCTCCGCCGCAGTGGCAAAGCAGGAGTAAGGGAGACGAATGAGACAAACCAGATCCTGCCAGCTTCAAGGGCAACGTGCGCGTGTCTGACTTGCCGCCCCCGTTATTCCATCAGTGCATGTTATTTTACGCAAACATGCTTGTCAAAAAGCACAATATAGCACATTCAGACAGAAAACGAGAAGGGATTTCCGTTTAATTATTAGTATAAAGGAAACAGAATTACAGTTGCATAATGATTACAGATCTTCAAGAGAAAAATAAAACCAGGGATATTGTATCTAAACCTATCATTTTAAACTACGCTCATAGTGTGATTTGCTGAGGGATTTCAGGTTTATTATATTGAATGACGGTTCTATTTTATGCTCATTCATTTTAGACAGAGTTCACAGGTACATCCCTTCGAAAGCATCCCAGACTCTCTGTAGCAATCTTTTATTAACTATTTACACCAGTTCAACAGCTAACTAAAAAAATGCATTTTTACCATGATTTATCACACATTATTTATCTCAAAACATGCAACCTTTGCACATTAAATATTTTAAGCAAAAAAAAAAAATCATTAAAAATGACATGGTGAAATATTAGCTGATTTATTTTATTAAGCAACTGCAACATTATATAAATACTTTGCATTTTTTCTTGTTAATAGGTTCTTAAATTGAATAATAGGCACCGGAATTCTAAACAGGATAAGAGAAAAGGCTTCTCATTATATGTGGCCTTGACGGGGGTGTACTGCACCCACACTGGGACGCATGCCAGGGCTTAATTGCTGATTCCGGGGCTCTCTGCTCCAGCTGCTAATGCAGAGCGGCTGTGTCAGCAGAGGCCATGCCGCTCAGCAAGCACACACGAGGCCCCCAAAGACACTCGCAAACACAGAGGAGGTGCGTTCCCAAAACATGCTGCCGGCTGTCCGGTTTCAGTGAGCGCCACGTTCCAGTTACAGCGTTGTAATGAAAAACAGGGTTTTTTTTAAGGCTAAAAGGCAAAGTCTCTGGTTCACACACACGCGATGGTGATGAGACAGCAGAATAAGCAAATTCACCAACCGCTTACTGAGATCCTTATCAATCATACCGATTACTGCACATAACCTGTCCAGAGTCACGCATGACAATTCACTCTTGCAGAACAACTACTTCTGGAAAAGTCCAACTAATATGGGAGGCTAACTTTAAAATAACAAACATAAATATCATTATAATAGTCTAGTTTAACTAGAGTTGTAACCAAGATGTGATCAGTCACAGAGATATCTGATGACAGGAAGTCCTCCTCTGTGCCTCTTTTCCCCCAGAACAATGAGCTTCACTGTGTCCCCCACCTCCCAGCAACAATGGCCTCTCATAGTGGCATGACTCTGTCACTACGAGGCATGTGACCTCTCTCAAATATACTGACACTATTATCTGAACCTTGTGGGTGTGAATTTTGTAATGCGAGCCTCTCGTTGCGGGTTCTCGCTTGCGGATTAAGTAGGTCAGCGCACATGCAAAGCACATCTGTGCGGGGGGGTGGGTGGGGAACTTTCCTCTCATAGGACCGAACAGCAAAAAGGCACTTTGAAGTGCAGGGAACTGTATTGTGCTGTCAGTCATTAAGTAGTAACCAATGGGACATGTGCTAAACTAAGGGCTCCTATTGGGTGAATTCATACAAAGACTGGGAGCTTCCTCACCACACACGGGTCCAAAGCCTCAGTTTTTTCAGGTCTGTGATATTTGGTACAATTCACTCTCCCCTATTAAGATCCAGAAGGTATGTACAGAGTGCCTGTTTTGTGGACAGGCATCCCATCACCAATGAACATTTTAAGAGCCAGTTCAATGGTTCTTCTCTGGTCCCAGCTGTAACGAAACCAGGAAGAGCACTGGCTCCTGCCTTAGGGGCCAGAAGAGCAGGCAGGCAAAGGGCCACGCTTCCCAGGACCCCAGCAGCGTTGCCTGTGAAGAGGCTCACAGTGAGCGAGCAGGACAGTGATGAAAGGGCCAGGCAGCGTGTCAGAGACGCCAGGCCCTCCTGAGAGAGCCAATCATGTAGCCCGGGGAGCAGCACGGAGCAGGCCAGCAGGACATGGGCTGTCAGTCGGTCCTCACTGAGCCACAGGAAGCCGCAGGAGACCAGTGCCGGGCCCAGCGCTTCACCCGCCCACTCCAGGTCCTGCCTGACACATGTTGGTAGCAGACTGGAATCAGGAAGTGAAGATAATCCTGCAGAGATTCCAACCAGGAAGAGCCCCACAGCCGGGGCCCGGTGATCCTGCAGAGAGAAGATCGGATGGGACAAACCACACAAGAGAGGAAAAACACCCTGACACACTGATGCCCGTTTCTCAGTGTTACACAATTTAAACTTAACTGTGATCATGGCGCGGTCTACTTCCTGTGAACAACAGGAAGGGAAAACTAAAGGCTAACTAGGCTAAGATGAGTTTTCAATCGTAAGTCACGTGAGGAGGTGGCTGGACAAGGCTTTGCCAGTATTTCCAAGAGTGTGTCTACTCGACGACAGATCACAAGCAGATAACTTGTCAAGAGAGGAACTCTCAGGAGTTATGGTTGATGTTACATTAGAACAGCCCTCAGGGACTGGAAAATACCTAAACCTTCAGACTTAAAAGAATGGTTCAATTATATGACAAAACCGCCTCATGTGAATCCATGTTAATTAGCATGACAGATAAAAACTATGAAATGAGGCTGATATGGGATCACTTTGGAATCACATTTCATTGTCTCATGATCTTGAAATATGATTACCGTATCTTTATTTTTTATATTGTGACTATAGCTGCTTTCCATCTGTGTGTACCCCCCCTTTTTGTTTTAAATTTAATTTATTTTTATATAGCCACTTTATTAATATCAGTTGTGGTGCTGGTATACTGTCTCACTGGATGTTTATTTGTTATGAACCAACCTTGTTAAAGTTAATAAAAATTTGAATTATTAAAAAAAGGCAAGTTTTCACTCAAACACAAGTACTCAAACATAGTTTAAATACAGCCAGCAATCGAGAATACGGTAATAAAGGTTCAAAGCCACCCCACACTGTCACACACAGTTACCTTGAAAAGACAGCCAGCAGTGTACAGGGCAGTGAGAGACAGAGCAATGTCTGAGAATGCAGTAATCCAGTGACCTAGACTCTCAGCCATCAATCACGAGTTTGGAGCTGCGACCGACGCCCAAAAGTTGCACTGCAATTATCCACCTTTTCTTCTCACGCACTTCCCAACATCACTGATGCATCAACACATGCCTGATGGAGAAAGCCAGTGAGTTAGATTACTCAGGAATCCATGTCCACAGATATCTGTCCAGACATAAGTATCAGAAAAATGCACATGACAACTGAAACAGACATTCCGAAATGGCACCTGATCTTTACCTTGTATTTTAACATGCAAACTAAAATGTCTTATTACCAGATTATCTGCGAAGGTCAATCAGGAAATCCGTGGAATGCTATAAATTGTTTAAGGATTTAATGGGGGTTCAACTTGCTCCCTCAATCTAATGTTTAAAACTGTAAATTTCCATTACATAACAGACCGTGTCAGAAGTTCCCTCATGTCATAAACTGAGAGATCATGGAGTAGGTAGGATTATACAGGGACATAATTATGTTTCGATTGTAACACCATGGATTAACCTTGCCCATGAACCAGTAATATTGGTTACTTCAAATTAGGTGTTTGTGACTGGAGACAAAATCTGCCTACTAAGAAAAATTACATATAGGCCTATAACTACTATTAATAAATTCAAAAAGCATGAGAAAAATCTTTGTGCTGTGTTGTTGTCGCACCCTAGACACCCTACCCCCATCCCACGCCTTCGCCGCTTCATACCCCCAGCATGAACAAGCGGGTCCTTGTACAGCGCCGTCTGGCTGCAGGAACGGATGGCTGTTTGTCTATGCTGGACTACCTCCACCTCCCCATTCCCCACCCCTGTTGCAAGTCTCGACTTTGGTGTTGTGAGCTGTGGTGACTATGTGCTTATTGCTGAGGTGTTTTTTTTTCTCTGTTCCTATATTGTACTCCCTACTGGAGTACAGTCTGGGGGCTGTTTTTTTTATTCACCTCCACTCTCCTCGCGTAATCTTGTTTCTCTGAGTTTTCCTATAGTCCCCTGTCTTCCTGACCTGTCTACCCCCTACGTGTGTTGTATATGTATAGTCGGGTTGATGGCCAATATTTCGCTGGTACTTGTGACTAGTGACAAGGTGTATTGCAACAGCAATAAAGGGTTTCATCAATCATCAATCAATCAATCAATCAACGTAGACTGTAACATTTCACTCCAATATAGGCGTAATAGTTCTGCAACTAACTCACCGGTCATCCACCTTATATCTGATGATCATATTCAAACACAATTACACAGAAATCCCATTTTATGACATTTAACCAGGCGTATGCGGCAGTATTAATGTTAATAACGTGCTTCCACCATAGCGTCATTTTAGAGAACTTTTTGATTTGATTAGCAAATATCGGTGGGCGGACGGTTAAAAAAACTTCCATCCAAGTCTTAGCGAGATAATTAGCAAACAATAACAACCACTATTATTTTTCCTTTTCCACGTGTGTCTGCATGCCGTGGTATTCACTCGGCTCCGGAACGTACTGTACTACTGCAGCAGTGAAGTACGGAAAAGCAGGATGAAGTTATCCGGCCGGCGAGCTGATTATTAGGCTCCAATAACAAATGCTGTAATATCCTTCCTTCAGCTTTCTGTCTTATAGCCTAGCTGGTTTCGGAGTACACAAAACCAAAGTGACAAACGGAGTTTACATTACCAGCACACAATCCCGTCCTTACAAAGTTACTTGTTTTCTCATACGCTTGCAGCCGCCGCGCGGTGTAGAATCTGCGGGGCTCGGCACGGTGTGACGGCACCGCCGGTACCGGGGGTGCCAGATTGGATCCGAGGTTGCCAGATAAACCACCTCTGGGATTCGAGGTGCACGCCGCCGTGAGACTCGGGTTGCCAGATTACATTCGGTGTGCTCTCTGGCGAGATACATGGGCTGCCAGATTGGATTCAGGCGCTCGCCGCCGATACAACGGGATTGATAGAGTATATCGGGGATATTCCGCCGACACCTGGGTTGCCAGACTCGGTATTAGTGTTGTACACAACCCAGCTTCTCCGGCCAAATGTTACCAAAACAGTGAATGCTAAGTTCCATGGAATTACTGCAAAGCTCCTTCATTTTTCCAACACAAAATATCTTTATTGTGTTTATCAACAGTAAATAAATGTAACAAATGTTGGCAACATTTATTCGTTTGGACTGTTTAGGAAATATAATTTGCTGTGTTTTGTTGTTTTGAAACTGTCTACACAGTTGTGTATGATGTTTTACAATAATTGGGGGATTATTAGAAGGCATTAGCTCATTGTTTAAAAGTTAGAAAAAAATTAAAATGTGAGGCTAACTGAACAAAGAGTTGCAACAATGCAATGCATTTCTCTTTGGGGGGGGGGGTTATTTAAGATGTTATGTTTTTTCATGATCGTCGCTTATCGACATCAGCTGGACCTCGCTTCACTGAATTATAAGAATTTTGAAAGTAACCCGTCATTTCAGCGCATTAATAAAGGTGTGAATGTTAACAATCAACAGTTTATTAGACCAAATAAGACAACTGCGCGCGCGCGCGCGCACACACACGCGCAACCAGCATAAAAGTGAATAAAACAGACAGAATAGAACTTCAATCCATCCATCTATCTTCTAAACGCTTAATCTGAGCAGTGTCGCAGGGACCGAATAGAACAATTGCCTACCAATGCCGCCAAGCTTCACATGTTTGGCGCCGCAAATGGTGAACACCCATGCCTGTATCAGCGGGTGTTGTAAAACGAACCGAGGAGCGACGTACCTTCCCAAACAGCCGGTAAATACGGAAGGATCCCAGCTTTTCTCCGGACCGTGAGAGTACGGTCCCTCATTCGCAGCCCGGCGGCCACAACGCACATGCGCAGCGCCCCAACCCCCGTTTGAAAACATGGCGCCGGAGTATCTGTCAGTAACGGAGAGGTGGATACGTCGGAAAGTTAATCTTCATCACAACTGTTTAGGTAATACGGGGATTTTAATGTTGAGGTTTCTGCCGTAGTTATACGTAAAGTAATATTTTATTTTGTTCCACGTTAGAATATCTATAGAGTGGCATTTACGTGATTTTCCTAGAGGGAAACGTATCTGACTAATAGATCCTGGGAGATACGACAGCGGGCAGAATGCTGGCAAGACCAGGCATGACAGAACAATGAGAAATAAATGATGTAGCTGGCTTAAATGATCAACACGTTTTCTTTTATACTACACCAGCCTATTTTTTGTTATTCCACATATGTAGTATTCTGACTGTAATTGGTCTAATACCTGCGATTTCAGTTATAACTACCGATTTTGAATGGATTGCACGCATTTCATAGTCAACTAGCTTTAGCTGCTAAATAGATAATGTTAATGCAATGGTTACGCCAGAGTAGGTATAAACACGGGACACGTTTTGCTGCTAATTAAAATAGTATGAAACCCTTTCAGCGGATGTCAGGTCTTTGTGTCTACCGGGAACTTACGAAGGGAAAATCCGTCACCTGGGAAACTCTCTGAAGAACTTTGTACGCCTTAAATCTTTGGACCTGTCCCACAATGCTCTGGTGTCTGTTGAGGTATGTATACGTACTTGAGCTTGAGGGCCCGACGTCCTCTAGTGAACCCTGTGCTCACTGCCCGGCACTGTGAACCTCGATGGGCATTTGCCGTAGAATACCAGAATTGGCAGATCCACCACTGGCACCCTGTGCTTTTCACAGATGAGAGCAGGTTCACACTGAGAACATGTGACAGATGTGAAAGGGTCTGAAAAGTCGTGGAGAACGTTATGCTGCATGTAACATTGTTCAGCATGAGCGGTTTGGTGGTGGGTCAGTGATGGTCAGGGGAGGCATATCCATGGAGGGACACACAGACATCTACAGGCTAGACAACAGCACCTTGACTGCCATTAGGTATCAGGATGAAATCCATGGACCCATTGTCAGACCCTACGCTGGAGCAGTGGGTCCTGGGTTCCTCCTGGTGCACGACAATGCCCGGCCTCATGTGGCGGGAGTATGCAGGCAGTTCCTGTAGGATGAAGGAACTGATACCATTGACTGGCCCCCATGCTCGCCTGACCTAAGTCCAACAGAACACCTCTGGGACATTATGTTTTAGTCCATCCGAGCCACCAGGTTGCACCTCAGACTGTCCAGGAGCTCAGTGATGCCCTGGTTGAGATCTGGGAGGAGATCCCCCAGGACACCATCCGGCGTCTCATTAGGAGGATGCCCTGACATCGTCAGGCATGCATACAAGCACGTGGGGGCCATACAAACTACTGAGTACGATTTTGAGTTGCTGCAATGAAATTTCGGCAAAATGGACTAGCCCGCCGCATCATTTTTTCCACTTTGATTTTCGGGGTGTCTTTGAATTCAGCCCTTTGTAGGGTGATAATTTTCATTTCTATCAAGCAATGTGGCATCCTTCTATTCCTAACATATTACAGTACCTAGTCCATATCAGTATAGATATCCAGCATGATTTTTTTCCCATTGAGATCTGATGTGTTTTCAAAGTGTTCCTTTAATTTTTTTGAGCAGTGTATAATTAATGTTAGCTATGTTGAGATGTTAATTGGGTTTTGGGTCTGGGCTGCACATCTTTCGTACCTGCATTTAGTTGTTTTCAAACAGTGATGCGCTTGTTCCATAGGGGATTCAACACCTGCAGATGCTGGAGGTACTGAATCTGTATTACAACAACATCTCATCCCTGAAAGATGTTCTTTTCCTGTGCAAGCTGAAGGCCTTGAGGGAGTTGGATTTGAGACTTAATCCCATAGTCAGGAACACCCCAGACTACCGGCTGTACCTGGTGCACGCCTTGCCCAACCTACGCAAGCTTGGTACGTGTCGACTCCGCACCGAAGCTCGTCCGTGTAGTTAGGAGGCTGCGCAGCTTTTCAGTTCATAGTTACAGAACTTGATGTTTGTCGGCCCTAAACATAAGAGAAACAGTTTCCCAAATACACAAGAAATGAGTCCTAAGAGTGAAATATCACAGCTGTGTCCTAAGGTTCATTTTACAGTACTGACACATAAAGATTTTATTTTTTTTTTCCTACATTTATACAGAGCTTGCTGTTAGCTCTCAATTCAAATCAAGGTTAAACACAAGGTTTTACCGAATGCCATCAATCCCAAATATTAGCTACTTATAACAATCTCTGTAGTTGTTCAGTAGTGTTAACTTTGAGGCCATAACACAGCCTTGTCAGTTTAATGCCATATCAGTGGCCATTTCAGAAAGCAGCATTTCTTGCTTAGCTCGATAACTTGTTGGCTATAAAATACCCCAGATTAAATTAACTTTGTTTTTGTCCAGTTACATTTAGCCCGGATTACCATAAATCTGTTATCTGGTTAAGCAAGATATCCTGCTTTCTGAAACAGCAACCAGATATCAAACATAAAATGTATTTCAATCTCTTTGGCATAATTAACTGGGCAATTTTAAATAGTGAATTCTATGCATCTGGCTTGATCCATAAGTGTAACTGCATGTTCTATGTTTGACGCGTGATGTTCTGTCCTTCAGATGACTGTCCAGTTAGAGACAGTGAAAGAAAGGTGTCCATACAGCATTTCCCCACAGATGCCATGTTTGACAAAGGGCAAGTGGCTGATTTTCCTCCAGGCAGAAGCAAGAGGTGACGTACAGTAAAGCACTGTGCTAGTACTAATGTGCCTTCGAGCTACAATAAAAGCATCTGAAACATGCAATTTCTTAATCAGCTTAAATGTGAACGTGGTAAATAATACCGTTTGTAGAGCTGGTTTTAACATTTCTAAGGGGGTTTCTCTGATAACATCGTGAGCTCTTTTCAGGAGCAGCCAGCCAAGGACGGCCTTAGTGAATCGAATGGTCGAGAAGCGCTGCTTCTTGGATGACAACGATGAAGCCGTGCTTAACCTTGTTGCTAAGGGTAACCTGGATCTGAGTGAACCTCTGAAGTCCTCCACCAATAAGCAGCCAGAATGCCAACTCTATGATTTATTGGAGGAATATGGTAACTGTTTTAACTGTATTGCTATATAACAAAGTTTTGGTTACACTTTCTATAAATACCATGTTTATTAGAATCTCTGAACATTCATAACACATCATAATACTTTATGAATGCATTATAAACATGGCTAAAAATATTTATAAAAACACATTATAGCCCTGTATATTATGCATTATGCCTGCTTTGTGAAGCTTTCATGTATAATGCACTATGAATACAATGACGCTTATAGTAGCCATTATAATCAGGGGTGCACATAATATTCACCTTTAAGAACAATACATGCGACAATCGATTGTTTGTAAAAGCACAAATGCGGACTTATTTTATGTGCATTTGCGCTGCTATGAAAACAAAATATAATGCATTTTAATCTTTATATGCTAACTCGACTTCATTTGCGGTATACGGGTTAAAATGCGAGGTATTTTCTTGTCATAGCAGCGCAAATGCATATAAAACAACTTCGCATTTGCACTTTTACAAACAGTCAATTGTGGCACGTATCGTTTTTAAAGGTGAATGCGTACTTGCGTACCAGTTATGTGCACCCCTGATTATAATGCATTATGAAGGTATCTATAATGCATTTTAGATGAGTTTCATTGGAGCTTATGAAGCATTATAATCAACACTGTAATGCCTTATGACTGTCAATAGAAGATGCTTTAGTGTTTTATTCATTCTTGTACTGACCATTATAATGCATCATTATGTAGGTAGGCCTATCTATAACGCATTGTAGATGACTGCTTCAAGTAAAGTTTTCCCAAAGTTTTTTCCCACGTTTGATCATTAAAAAGAAAATCGCCAGTTTTGAAAAGTGATCGACTTCCCAAAATGACGTTTATTATGTTTATAGTGGGTCTCTAAAGTGACTGACAGGTACATCAGAGGTACATCAGAGGTACATCAGAGGTACATCAGTGGTACATCAGTGGCCCCCCATCATCCCTTTCTATGCCAGGATGTGAAGTTCCAGCCAGAAATATTGTGGCTGCAGTATAATTTTAACTATGTCTAGTTTGTCCTGCAGTGAATTTTCTATTTTCTAGGGAACTTCAGGAAAGATGACTGTCAAATCCATGCTGACAATTTCCGTTATACAAAGCAGGTGAGCTTTCTCTCTGTAACAGATATGTGGCTTACTAAAATAATGAAAAAAATTAGAAAGTGATGATAATATCAAAATTAAGATTTGTCTCATTGATCGTTGAATAAATAACTAATACCTTTCTTTCAGGATTCTGCTAAATTCATTCTCAGGCATTCTCCAGAAATAAAAACCAGTAAGTATTCAGCTATATGCATCTTCTTTATATAACTTTAATTTGTTGTTGCAGGTAATTGGTTTAACTGCAGTCTTTATACTTGTGTGCAGTTTAAGTTGCAATCATAATGCATGATAAGTGCAGTACTAATAATGGTTTTGATAACTGTGAAATCATTTTTTAAATGGGTCATGTTCAGTGCCATGTATATTTTTCCTTTAACATATTACAGACATTTTTACATGCACAGACATTTGGGTTAAAGATGGTTATTCAGTTATTAATATGTAAGCGGCTTTCCTGTCTGGGTAGGACATGAGGTTGTGTTTCTGGGTTTTTGTAATAGTTGCGTCCCTCTGTGTGTTGCCCTACTTGCCTTATTTTCATATGCTTCCCGCCCCCCTTTACATTATAGTGTCGTCACATGATGTGACGCAGCTTTGTAAATCCTGAACGGTGCGTTTCCAAGGGGACAGCCGCCAGCTGCAGCACTGAAAATAAAAGTTCTGGTCCACTGTTCTGTATGGCTTTATTAAAAACACGATGCCAGAGTGACTTAAGGGCTTTTGAGTACGTACTTTGCTCAGCTCTTCTGAACCCAGACGAGCGATAGTCCAAGGGCGTACAAATTTGGAACCTCCGTCAGCGTTTCAGCTGATATGGAGCAGTGCCACAAGGGGGAGACACTGGTCTTTGATGCAAGATTTGCCGTTTCCTCAGCAGGCACCCTTACTAGCTGTGTGATGTACAGAACTGTGCAAAGTCTTAGGCAGCCAAAGAACATGCTGTTTAAATCCTATTATGCCTATCAGAGTGTGTTAGCTTAGCCATTTCAGATCTTCTGCTAAAATCACCCCATTACCTCCAGCAACCATGCAATACACCCATGTATTTTTGACTTGGCCACTAGCACACCTCGTATATCTAGTATCTAGTTACTATCCCATTGATTTAAACTAATTTAATTGAACTGGATATGAAGTGTAACAAACTCATAGAACGGCTGAGGTGCCCCTGAGGAGAGGTTTGGGAACTGAAGCGATGTTCATCTAAACATCCAAAAAGATATCAGTAACTTTTTGCAAAATGGAAGAAATTATTACTAGTTTTTATTGCGTTACTCTTCATTTGCACATGTTATAATGTTAAAATGTGTTTTTTGTTCTGAGCAAAAGTTTACTGTACCCAGATTAATATCTTCAAATATTTCTTTGGACTGCCTAAAGACTTTTGCACAGTACTGTATATATTTTAATCTGGACATTAATATTTCACATCTTTCACACAAATTTATCTGGTCACTTGGACAACTTCCAAAAATCATAAATTACAAAGGAGGAGGCCGTTCGACCCATCAAGCTCACTCGGAGGAGCTAAACTAACCATTTAAATTTGTCAGGATCTTGTCAAGTGCCATGTGACTAGGTTAACGGTTTCTCTCATGTCTTATGTCTTCCATCAGAACACCAGTGCGGTACAGAGCCACAGGTTACAGATCTGGGTGAAGGTGGGCGTGTGTTAAGGACTGACAAGGGCCCAAGGGTCACCTTCATTGACCCTGTACATATGAGTCAAGAGCTGGACCCCATCATATCTGAGGCCCCGGTCAGGATAGCGGCTCATGGGACCTTCACCCCAGTGCCTGGTGAGAGCAGAATTGCATCTATACAGCAGTATGTAGATGCCATTGTTTGAGGATGTTATACCACACTGCATGCCTGAAGTACACAGGAAAGAGCGTGTTGAGGGTTCCTGCTTTTATTGACTGACTTTTGCCGGATCTCCCAGAATGCATATTATGGATTGGTTCATTGTTCGTTTGAAGTCCTTCATGGTACATCTGTCACTGTTTTCATGCAGCAGACCCTCCATCAGCTTCCATTCCCAGTGCCTCCCCAGTAATGAACCGGCCTTCCCGTGTTACCAACCAAGGCGGCTGGCCCTCAGACTGTCCCAGACCCTCTTCAGCTCCAGGAGCAAAGAGCAAAGATCGAGTGAGAGACTTTGAATTCTCATATGGTGCTTTTCCACTAGCATACAGGAACCGAGCCGTACCCAAGTCGTACTGCGAAGAGAGACTAGTTACAGTGCAGTTCCAGCTCGCTTCAGTTTTCCACTGCATAAGGCTCTGCTCGGGTGCCGGGTTTGGAGAGTGACAGTGATGTAAAACCGAAGAGGTGCTTAATTACTGTTCACGCGGTGTACATCCTGATTTACTACAGTATGTGCACATTTTTATTTTTCTTTTGTTTTCTACTCTCTGCTAATTTCTGCTAGCACGTCTGAGTTATGTTAGCCTCAAACCCTAGTGAGATTAGCGTTTGCTTGTGTAAATTTTCATTCTGTCCAGCTGTTCTATAGTACTTTAAGTAGGTGGTTGAAAATTTTCAAGTTCTGAGTTATCAGGAATACATTATTACATTGCATTGTGCAATGCTACTAATAATAATATACAGAATATATGCTTTTTCCTTCAGATATCCATGTGCAGAAAACCAGTATCTCTGTGCATTTCAGTCAATGAGATGCAACCAGCTCAGTTTGGCCTTGCTGGTAAGCCGGGCCTTGTCAATGTGGTTATGGCTCAGGCACAACTTGCATCTTTGTAATGGAAAAGCGCCAGATCGCAGTATGGATTGGGTACGGCTCAGTTCCTGGTGGCAGTGGAAAAGCACCATATCGCAGTATGGATTGGGTACGGCTCGGTTCCTGGTGGCAGTGGAAAAGTGCCAATAAATCACTCCAAATGGTAGAATGTCACGTTTGTTGACGTTTCAGGCTTGGTTCTTGAGTGTTGTTCTGTTCCAAAACAGGAGTCCTTTATCTTTGATAGCAACTATGGAAAACCTTTGGCTTCACTGCTAGCCCTCGTGGATCAGCACTGGAGGGGTGAGACATCTCTCCAGCGCAATCGCACATTCCTGGGTACGTGTATGTGGACACCCTCCCCACAACCTTCCTGCATAGCAGAACCTGCTTAACCACTAATACAACTCTAAAGTAAGGTTAAATCATTCTTCCAAATTGTGTAGTTGAAGCCGTTCGGATCCTTTCGGGAATGGAGCAGGATGCCTCAGGCCCACGGGAGGAAGTTAAATCTCTGAAAGCAAACATTGAGAACCTAAACACCCAACGACAGAGAGAAGCAAAGGAACATCAGTCAGAGGCCCAGCGCCTTACCCGACAGCTGGAACAAGCTCAGAGCTCCATAGTAAGATTGAGACCCTAAACTTAATGTATACTAGGCTAGACTATGGAAGGATGGTCCTAAACATTTACAAATCTATTATTTATAGGACCAATATACTCACTTCATGTTTAGCCTTCTTATCTGTTCTGTGATGCTTTGTTTGTGCTTTGGTCTGGCTTATAGTATTTTATGTTTTCAGGAGGAGTTAAATCAGCAGCTTAAGGACCTTTTGGAGGAGAACCTGTCTTTGCAGCGGCGGCTTATTAAATCAGATCAGAGGCTCTTGGACAGCCGGATGGACAGAGTCCCCGAGGCTGTAGGTGGGTGGAACTATACAGCCGTTGAGGTAGCATGTCTTCTTGCATTAGCATATAGCTGTCCAGCACAACTAGTTAGCTTATATGGAATTATTGGGCCTGTGATTGTGTGCTTTTCTGTCCCTGCCCAGAGGATAGGAGCACAGCTGAAGGTGTGAGGAGGGAGGTGGAGGAGCTGAAGGAGAGGCTCCAGCAGGCAGAGAAGGTGCAGGAGCTGGCTGACATGCTAAAGGAAAGCCACAGGCAGGTCCCAGACAGAGAACAGAATGCTCAATAAATCCCCCCTTTTCTTCAGCCAGACTGTAATCACACATACCAGCTTCTGCTTGACCTACCTCTTCGCATGACACACTTTACCACTGACTCAGTCGATGCCCTTTATCGAAGGCATGACATTAAACTGGATCGTTTGGTGGTCTTCGTCCTGATTTGGTGTTCTGACCTTCCGTTTCAGATCTTTGTTGCGTAATAATAAATGCCTTGTCGTGGAGTTAGAGGAGACCAGAACCCGGCATCGGTCGGCACTGGAGCAGCTGGACCGGAGGTTCTGTGAGCTCAGCAGAACCGTCAGCTTGGTGCCTGAGACATGCAAGAGGAAGACGTAACCTTTCGGGTTCCTTCAGCTTTTTAACACTTTTTGTACAGTTTTCACCCTTTTTAAAATATATTTTCAGTGCACAATGTGTATCCGTGTATGCTAATTAATTCGTAATGCCGTACAGTGAACTAACTGGTAGGAATGGTTGACATAAGGCCTTTGTAGCATAACCTGGGATGTGAGTCATCTTTTCCCCTGTCAGTAGGCCCAGTGTGGTGTTTGGGTAACTTTACTGTCGGTCATTTATAACGGAAGCACTATAGCACTATATCTTGGAATCTGTTATGTATGTTACAGTAAGAAGTGCTTAGGCCCTGTTTACTCAGGCCTCTGCTGTCTCTGCGCTGTTTCACTCCCTCTCGCACACGGGCATGCACACAGGGGGCACGCGTGCCTCTGCTGTCCCTGCGCTGTTTCACTCCCTCTCGCACACGGGCGTGCACACAGGGAGGTGAATATCAGCGGGATATTCCGTCCTCGTCCATCCGGCATGTCTTACAGATTGTCACGAACGCTACACTTTCCCCACAAGTAATTCCTTAAAATGAGGTCAATTTAGCACAGAAGCATTTTCTTCTTTTTTTTTAAATTTCCACTTTATTATTATTTACCATTTGAAACAGGAGCATATGCAGATACTAAAGATTTACCTTTATTGAAAGAAACAATGTTGAAAATCACATTGCATGCACCAGGCCAACACAGATTTCAAATCAACGACATTATTACACTTCCTAAACAAAAGGTGCACAATATTTTGGTATTAAACACACAAAACATAATCTAACACTTTGAAATTAATAGTGGAAATAAGCTAATTAATGACATACAGCAACTGTATGCCAGACGTATCACAGTCCAAATATAGGCGTGAATCGTATATCCTACTGTACTGTATTTCTTGGCAAATAATTGACTTAGGCAGTGCTTAAAAAGTCACATTTACCCTGATGTAATTACAATGGCACTATGATACACAACAGGTTAAAGAAATGCTTATAGCTTGGTGTAATAGCTTAATACGTCAAAGTAGTTCACAGATCATTTCTTTTTATAAGTTTAGAAGGTCAGGTTCTGCAGACATACATCTGGTATGAGTTTGAGGAGCGCTGCATATTCCGCCCAGACCTTCCTTTATTCAAAACGAAGTGGAATGCAGCGGATTTGCCAGTTTGTGTGATTTGATGTCTTTACACCTTTAATTGCTGGTGGAAGGAAGCGATGAGTTTTACTCTAAGTAAAACTGTTCAGAGCGACTGAGGGTGAGACTGGGCCCAGATTAAGCATCACAAAAATATCTATAGGACAATTTACTGCAATGAAATCTAAAATGCACAAACTTTACACTGCTGCTCAGGAATCAAGATGCAATTTCATTGCATTATATATATACACACACATTATGTATGTGTGTGTTTATTTATTTATATATATATATATATATATATATATATATATATATATATATATATATATATATATATATATATATATATTTATTTTTAAAAAAAATAAACACACACACACCATGGTGATGACACTGTATCTGCCTGATGTCTTGGTAGGTTTTGGTAGGGACCCATCCCCCCACCGGCCAGCCCATGTTTTTGTTCCCTCCCAGATCCCAGCAGGACCTATATTACGGCACAAAGTCAAGATGTGTATTACCCTGGTACCTATGGGCATGAGTGCAGCCATTATAAGTGAATTCTAACTAGTGGTTATCCTACTGCCCCCCAGTGTCCAAACATTGGTCTTGCTGTATTGGTTTCATGAAACACAAAGACGAGAATTCAACCTACTTAGACAGAGTTAGGGCAGATAAACACCTGAGCCCATACTTGAAGTTTCCACCTGGTCTCTGTGTTATTCCTGCAAGCATCAGGATCTTATTTTTAACTGCAGAACTTTTTCATCCTGAATATACGGTGGCTCCACATGCTATAGCCAAGTGCAAGAGGATGCAACGTAGACACCAAAGCCTTTTAAAACAATGTCAAATAGGAATGGGAATTTAATAGAAATCTACAGCAAAAGCAGGCCTAAACTGGGTAAGCAATGCTACGGCGAACAACAGCACAAATACCACGAATATCTTTCACTCCCAACCACTTACTTGAAAATCAGTTTTGATTAAAACCCAGATAACTACAAGGGTTTGTGGATTAGGGAGCCTTTACAGGAGCTGTGATGACTCGCTCCTGATGAACTGTTTGTGATATTAATTACAAAAATAAAAACTGACATGCACCTCAACAGAAAAAAAAAGATACGGAAGTTAAAATACAGTACTGATAACTTATTATTATAATGGTGAATAGAACAGGATCTGCGATAAAAGGATTTCAGTTTTATATGACTTACAGAAAATACATACAATCTTTCTGCTTAGAGAAAAATATATTTTTTATGAGACGACTGTTGTTATGTTAGTGAATAACCTAAGGAGCTGAATGAAATTGGGTGATAACTGTACCAAAAATGTAACCTTGAATGAAATATCTAAGGAAAAAAATTTATATTTGACATACTACATTAATCTAAAGGCAAACTGTTAAATTTGTTCAAAATATATGTCCACTTAACTAATCAGAAACTTAAATGTTAGGCAAAGGAAAAAAAAATCTGAGAAAGCAGAGAGTGCTGGTTGGCATCATTAAATAAATGAAAGTATTTCAATTTATGCATATCTGCAACACCGTTTTATGAAGGAAGAAATAAATTAAATTTAAAAGTGCAACACTGAAGTAGTTAGTCATCTTTGTGAAGCTTTTTTTGGCTGCCATGTTATTTGCTTCTTTTTATCTGTTTATGAGCCTCGGGTCTCGTTTCTCTCCCCCATCAGTTTGAGATCATGCCGGAAATGTGCCTTTCGAGAGGAATGTAAGCAGTCCATGCTGTCTGTCTCCGTCCCAGCATCTGTAAACTGTATTCCAGTTCTCACACTTCAGAAAAATGAGCTCACTCAGATCTTTCACTGAAAAAAATACATGAGTGAATTCAGTCCTGTCCGGTTTTTGTGCTTTTGTGGAACATTAATACCATGGGCAGGTGCCTGTCGCGGTCTGGTCGCTCGCTGCTTTGTCACATTTGCTTGGGGCCGGGCTTGACCTTCTTCTCGTACGAGCCGGCGTGCTTATACCCTGAGACGTATCCGGATGTGTCCACCATATCCACACGGCCCGCCTTGCCCTTGCCCCGCCCCGTCTGGTCGAAGCGCTCCTTGTGCGAACCCGTGAACTTGGTGGTGTCAGTGAGCCGGGACACGGTCGGGGAGGCCACAGCTCTCTGGTGGAGTGTGATTAGGGGGGAGAGTAGGGGTGGGGGCAGGACAGGAGCATTTTTTTAGCAGTCAAAAAAAAGGGAAAAAAAATGTAAAAGGAACTGAGAAGAAACAGTGTAACATTTCTGGAGTTTCTGAATCCCTATATCTCTAATTTTCTAATATACACTGATACTATTTAACTACTGAAATGTTCCAGAACTCTTTTGGGTACCTTCTAAATTTAATTAAGTATCAATGCAAAGATGAGCGTGGTGTCTGAAACCCATTTATCCATGATTACTTGATACGTGCAGCTGTACAACAGAACTGAATTCTGTAATAATATTTGAAACTACATAATTAGCAACACATTATTTTGCATGACTTTGACTGATTCAGCATGCTCGGGGGTGCCCTGAGTTCATCGTGAGGAACAATGCTGAGTTGCATTAACTGCACTTGCATGTTTAGCTGCATGGCAGGCATCCTCAGCAGTGCACTCTCCCACAGAGACCACCTGCAGGACCGTGGAGGCCGCGTGACTTACCGTCACCCCCAATATGACCGGCGACTTTCCTTCTATCATCTTGAAGATCTCCTCCGCAGCATCCTCAGCTGACTTCTCCTTGAAGCGTTTCATGGCCAGCTCCATCAGCGCCTCCTTAAACTGGTCAAACGTGATGGTGCGACAGGACTTCTTCCTGATATGACAATGAGTGTTTCAGTGGGTTAATATATTTCAAGACATTTTGTGCCCAATGTGATCCCCCTAGTTTAATGCATGGAGCAAAACATGCACTGCACCGTTATACAGAGAACAATAGGCAATCTTTTTGGGGAAAAAAGAACACAGTTTGTACCAACTCAATGACTTTTCAACAGACTTCTTCAAGCTGAAAGAAATTAGGCAGGTCAACCCTAACAGCTTAACCCTAACAAACTAAAGTCCAGGAACAAAACCAAATAAGCACTTTCCCTACTGTGAGACATACCCACTTAAAATTCTTAATCGACTGGAATGTTCTCTATGGTTATTATGATATATGTTAGGGTGGTAGAGTTGCACTCCTCCGTGACTGATGGTAATCTATTCTGCAGTGCTAAATTTCTATAAATAACCCTTTCTCATTTAGAAATTCAAGCTGTTTTATTTAAAACTTTTTTTAATATTGGGGACAAAATGTAACAAACTGCACAACACTCATGTCCATATGACACTAAAAAGAACATAGTAACACAAACACAAACACCCATTGCCATGGAGATAAATTGTGTAAACAAAGCCAATAAAGGCCACTGTTTCCCTGGGTTACCTGCTGTCATAGTAACAGGCCACAGTAAACACTGCTGTTTGGGCTTATTATTAATTTGACTTCTCTGATGACCGGTTTGTTTGGGCAATCCTTTACAGTCGAGCTCCCCAGAGTTTCAGGCCTCCTGGCCCATTCTGTGCTGCACAGTGTCAGACACAGAATTCTACTAAGTGCAGCTGGTGTCTTAAACCCCGGAATGGTGTACATAGATCTTATAAATCGTCCCCCTGTATTATGGTTTATTTAGATTTTTAACTCAATGTTTTAACACATAATTACACAAATAGTGACATTTGTTCTTGAACCGATCTGATAAAAATATATGTATATATATATATATATATATATATATATATATATATATATATATATATATATATATATATATATATATATAACTCTCTGTTACTGACTGGAAGGGATATCACTGCTAACCTTGTCTGCGATCCGTTGATCTGGATCCAATCATTAAGAAAATTAAATGCACATTATTAAAAGCACTGTCACAATGCATCCCAGTGGGGATTTAAAGACGTGCAGTGTAGACTGAGTGCCAAGGCATCTCCAGCAGAACCTGAGTGATGTGGATACGTGAGTGATGTGGATACGTGAGTGATGTGGATGTGCAGCAGCAGCTGCCGTCGGCTCCGTGCAGGAAGCTCAGATCTGTCACCAGGCCTCATGAAAAGCTGCTCTACCTTCTGGCTGAAGCCACCCTCACGCTGCTCTCTTAAGCAAAGGGGGTCTGAGCCACATGGAGAGCTTGCGCTCTGTTCAGTACATTAAGCATTTCTGCTTTCATAGAAGGCTTTGCTTTATGAGAAATTCCACAGCCTCATGGAACTGCGTGACCTGGCTTCACTGACTGGCTCAACAGATTCACTTTCCTGATGAAAGCAACTATGCAACTTCACCACCTTCCTATCCTATCGTCGACACACATGCAAGTCTGAGCGAAGTGCTTGTGGTACCTGAAGGACAGTAACATGGAGGCCCAGTGCGACTATGAAGAATTTTCTGCTGGAAACCAAGGGATTTAAACCTGATGCTTCTCTAGCCTGAAGAACCCAACATGTCAGCCGACCTTGCAGAACTCACACCAAACAGTGGGCAAAGGGTAACACCCAGTGTCTGTGGTGAACACCAGCTCCCCCAGAGTGATGTGGTTTCCTCACTGCTGCTCGCACCCCCTTCTTGCCCCGGGGCCCTTTACAAACACGCCTGGGGGGTTAGCTGCTCTTACGGAGACCATCACAGTGGGGAAGGAACTGGCCCCCAGCACTGCACTGAATAAATATCAATTAATTCTGCCCTAGTAGCTCCTAATCTTCCTTAATACCCCCCACCGACAGCATGTCTGAAGGGACTTCAAACTCACATCTAATTTGTGTATTAAAGTTACCACATACTCTGTTTAATTCTGTATCGTACCCAAAAATAGTCTTTTTAGAAATTAAGTGAGGTTTACCTATTGCCTATGAAGCCGATTAAACACAAACATGGCTAGTTTAAAAGACCCTGGGCAGCGTGTGGCTCAGTGGGCTAAGCCTCTCTGCCTGTGATCAGGAAGTCGCCGGTTCGAGCCCGGCCTCACCATGTCTGTGGGTCCTTGAGCAAGGCCCTTAACCCCCAGCTCCCTGGGTGCTGCGATGGGTGGCTGCCCTTCGCCGCCAGGGTGCTCTCACCTACAGAGAGCAAGTTGGGGGGGGCACAAAGAGAATTCCCCCACAGGGATCAATTATTATACCTTTGGTGCATTTCTCTTAACGTACAGTGCAATTTTAGCAGACTCTGAGCAAGTTCTGCATTGTGCCAAACAAGTCCGGCAACCAGTCCTGCTTACGGCTCCAATTTCTTACCTCACTGTCACCCATCAGAAGCAGCAAAATTAGAAATTCTCTAATAAATCTCTATGATTTTGAGCCTCTGCTCTCTATCCCTTTCTTTAAAAAATCCAGTTATATTTTTGCAGGAACTTATACCAAGAGCGGCAAATTGCAAACACTTCCAGCTTCTGCTCGGTGCTTCAAACCCAAAACACGACCCCACGAGAGCGTCCTTCTGCTCCCTCTTTGACTCCTTTTCCACAGGAGGCCACATGCTCCATTTTAACCAATGGGGGAAAGACGCCAGCATACTTGACTTTGGAGAAGACGATGTCGACGTCGGTGAGCGTGATGCTCTTGCCGTCGATGACGCCGCAGTCCTTGCACAGCTTGGACCAGTTTTTCCCGTGCATCTCCTTGCCGGTAGCGCGCGTGTCCCCTTGGATGGCGAAGCGACGGAAGGACTCCTCCAGCGCAGTCAGCTCCACGGGGGTGGAGGAGCCCGCCCCGCCCTCGCTGGTCCCGTTGGACTCGGAGGACAGCCGTTTCAGAGCCCGGTCCTTGGAGTGCTCGCTTGGCGGGCGCAGAGGAGACTGGTGGGGGTGCTTCGCCATCTGGACCTTAAACTCTGCCATATCCCTGGGGGAGAATAACAATAACAGTGAAATTAAGTCATTTTCTGTTTTGCTAATACTAAACAGTGTTTCAGAAGATACAAAATTAAATAGTACATACAGTGGAACCTCGGTTCTCAAACTTAATCTGTTCCAGAAGGCTGTTTGAGAACTGATTTGATCGAAAACCGAATCAGTTTTCCCATTAAGAAATAATGTAAATTCGATTAATCTGCCTCAGATCCCCAAATGATTGCATATTTAAACTTGTATGCATACCTAATGCTAAAACCATAATAAAAACTTCAAAACACATAAATACATGAAATAATTGAAAATTTAACTGCACTTTACCTGTACTGTGGAGAGCTGGCATACAATTATTTCCTTTGTAAGCTCTATCGTGCTTCACACAACGTACCTTTGGTTTGCTGCTACCAATAACCTTAGGACCCATAGTGGCTTATTTAAAAATAAAATAGGAGCAACAAAAGCAAACAAAAAAAAAAAACCACAAGAATATTCAGTGCACAGTGTGGTGGATATGTTCACTGCGCGACCGTTCACTGCACAGTTTGGTAGAGACGTTCACTACGCGGCTGTTGGTGGCAGACTGACTCACACACACGCATCATCGCCGGCGTTACGCGTTAAAAGGTACCTGCTCTGTCAGGTGGGCTTTAGCGCAAAAGGGTTTTTTGGTGAAGAACCATCAATACATTCGGCAGCCAAGACATTTATTACCGAAGAACACGGACGAGAATCGAATTGTACGAGAAGTGCGATGTTCGGGAACTGAGGTTCCGCCGTATAAAATAGTACAGTGGACTATAGCTTCACATCCCCAGGGCTGGGGGTTCGGTTCCCATTCCCAGCTCTGTGCATGTGGCATTTTCTCCCTTTGTTGGCGCGAGTTTACAGTTGTAAGTTTGCACCCTGTGGGGGTCTGGCATCCCGGCCAGGGACCCCCCCCCCCGTGTCCCCTGGCTCATCACAGCCTGTATTGGATAAGCAGTTACTGAAGATGAATAGACAGATAGAGAACAACAGCAAAACAAGACAAGGGAGGTAATGAGAATGACACATAATATGAGGAAAAAAGACTCATTCCTGAGAAACAACATGAGCTGTTGCTAGTCATAAGTGGAACAAACCTGGTCCAGCTCAAATGCAGCCTCTCCTAATAGCAGGTAACCCAGGGCCCTTATAAGATCCATGGCCTGCAGAATAAGCCACTGCAAGCCTGGGCTGTAGGACAGCTGTGAACGGACCCTGTGTGGTAAAGCATTCTGGCACAGAGATGACGGCTAAAAAAAGGCTCCATCCAGGACCCACAGTGCTGGTGGGGAGGGACAGGACCCACAGTGCTGGTGGGGAGGGACAGGACCCACAGTGGTGTTTCTTAGGTAAACACGCTAAATTAAAGACTTGGACTTTCATCAATGGGACAAATCAGGCGGGTCCCCTATAAACCACTCAGGCCGTGTTGCTTTTACGGCTCCGAATTGTTTTGCAGCATGTTAATGTAACTTGAGTAGCTGGTCGACATCTTTATTACCCGGTCAGTCATTAATCTAATATTATAGTGGGGCGACTGGTGTACTTTTGCTTTGTCTCGCAAGGTTCAAGGAACCTTCAGGAGCCGGTGGGGGGGCCTCTAGAAATTTGGAGGGTGTTATAACACGGGCCCTGAACCCAGACCAATCCAATTATGTTCCAAATATCATAGGATCGCTCTCACTCAGGGACCAATGGTATTACCCTAACCCCCCCCCCATTTATAGGTTTCATTAAATGCATCATAATTGCACGTTCAATTGCAGACGTTTCCCTTGAGAACTGAGGGAACCAGAGTACCTTTGTAAATACCTCACAATTTAAATGAAATGGTAAAATCAATGATGACATAACGACTAGCCACATCCAGGGACAACGCTGCATACTCACTCAGAGTCCGCCGTGTCCGGACAGCCGAATGCTTGCTCGTTCGAGCTGCTGGAGGAGGAGGAGTGACACGATTTCTTCACGCTGCAGAGACACCAGAAACAGTGCGTGGCTGGATGCGTGCGATTGCATTACCGCCTGTGCTTCAGCACGAGTGTCGGCTTCTTAAAGGGCAGGGAATCGTGCTCTGAAACTGTAAAGGTAGCAAGCAGCAAAATCGAGCTACAGGAACAAGCAAAACGCCTCCTGGACCACAACATGGGCAGCTTGTCCCGAAAGGCAGCGAGAATCTCAGGGACAAGACACACTGTTTAAACAAGCAAATATTAGCGATTGTGTGCATTACTCAAGCATATGCAAGGTGTTACGCAGGAAGCCATAAAATAATATTTGTGATATAACTATATGTCACAACTACATATGTCCCAAGGCAGTATATCCATCCATCCAATGATTCACCTTCTAACCACTTGGTCTGCTCAGGGTTGAGGGGACAAAGTTGATTTAGATCCCTGAAATATCTCTAATAATGCATTATTGGGGATTTATAATTTTACCAATAACATACTAGCTTTCAGCCTTCTGGCAGAATCAGATATTTCTTTTTATGTAGAACAGCTGTAAACATCTGCATGACACAAAAATGCAAACAGCTCACATGAACCTCCCTAATACTGCCCACTAGTCCTCTACACTGAGCCAGCTTTCAACCACTCAAATTCAACTCACATACACACACACACACACACACACACACACACACACACACACAGTTCACCAATGTCAGCCTGATCACAAATATCTGAGCATCACCTCCTGCTATTTCCAGACCACTTTCCATAGTGCATCAATAAGTGGTGTTTCTAAGAGTTCACAAGATTCGAAGCCTCTACTGCCTGCTTCGAGTCGCTGGGCTTTACTTTGATGAGAAAAGTTCCAGAACCTCGGTATTTTCTGTCCCATTACTACCTTTCCGTCGTCATCTGATTAGAAAAACAGCAACGTGACTGTAAAATGTAACGTAACGCTCAGCAGAAATGTAGTAGAGTACAAAGTATAAACATTTGCTGTAGTAGAGTAAAAGTCTAGTGTCCACAGCTAATTCTACTTAAGTACAGATATGTGAAAAATTTACTTATATACAGTAATGAAGTAATTGCACTTTGTTACTTTCCACCTTTGGACATTTTATGCCAATTTGGATGGACGGACATGAAAACCCTGCAATACACAAGTCATAATAAGGGTTCATTTCCAAAATTCTCCCGAGCAGAACAGGACGGGTCCTGATGCACACATCTGCCCACCTCGCAGTTACCAAAGCTGAGGCAGACTCACCTGGCAGTCGCTCCCATCGCATGCAGGCTGCGCCAGAGAGAGAGCCTCAAACGGCCCAAGCTGGCATGGTTAATGGGCACCCAGCCGAAGTGCCAGACAGCTGCTTCACCAGCGGCTGCCCGTCAAGGTTCACAAGCCAGAGTCTCACTGAAGTCTGGAGTTACAGGCCAAGCTTAGCTCATGCCTACAGCTAATACAGCGGGACAGCCCCGCCACCCCCGGTTTTCATTCGACAGACTCCCACCCTTTTTCTCCCCTAAATGGGTGGAACCAGCTACAGTCATGTAGGGTTTATGCAATGTTTGGATGACATCCAGAGGGCAGCAATTATTAAGCGAAAAAGCAGCACTGAATCTATTCTTATTTCACTGAGTCTGCCTGCTTCGGCCTGTAATAAAACACATTATATTTGAGTTTTTTTATTTAAAAGTAAACAAAGCATAATTAATCACAATCAATACTGCCATTCATCACTCGGACACTGGGTCACCATTGTGTTGTCAAGCGTCATCTCTGTCTGCTGTCCCATCCCCCGCCCCACACAAACACAGTGACATCATCCGGCATCACCGGTGGTGGGATAATCCCCCAGACACAACAGGTGCTGATGGGTGCGTTCGCGTGCGTATGCGTGTTTAGCTCTGCATCACTGGGGGTCCCCTGGGTGACATTCAAAAGCCAAGAGCAGCCGGAATATCTCGAGACTCTTATTTGTACTGAAATGTGTGCACGAAAATGCACAGATGCTAAAAATCGTAATAATATGTTGCTCTCAAAAAAAGAGGCACAGAATTCTTTTTTTTTTAAAGAAATGCACCTTAAATGTCCATCATTAAAAACTGAATAAATTGAAGCAACAGTTAATGAATGGGTGTCCTGGGATGTTGCATCCACTAATCCACTGAAAAGGACAGGAGGTTAGGGTTAGGGTTAGGGAAGAGGAGTTAGGGTTAGGGTTAGGATTAGGGTTAGGGAAGAGGACTTGGGGTTAGGGTTAGGATTAGGGTTAGGGAAGAGGACTTAGGGTTAGGGTTAGGGTTAGGGAAGAGGACTTAGGGTTAGGGTTAGGGTTACGGAAGAGGACTTAGGGTTAGGGTTAGGGAAGAGGACTTAGGGTTAGGGTTAGGGAAGAGGACTTAGGGAATCTACGATTAATCAGACTGCATTTGATGGACACATGGTGAGTTACATTCAAAGCACAGAACAAGTACAATACAGACAGACAGACAGATATCTATCTATCTATCTATCCATCCATCCATCCTAGTGGGAAATTCCTTAATGTTGCATTGTTGTGGCGTCAATCAGCCCATGACCTGGAACGCTCTCCATGACACTATCCTCTGTATGTACTGATTAACTTGAGGCCCCTATATGCAAAGCAGATCTTGTAAAATGTCCTATTTATTTACTGTGACGCCCTGACACTTTCCGAAAGTGAACTGTGGTCTCCTTTGTCTTCCGTAAAGAAGAGCGGGGGGACAAAGGCACCTTTCAGGCCCTTCAATGGGGGCTGTAGCATCTCGAGTGCTGGACCCAGCACAGCACTACACTCCCCTCCTCCCCCGCCGTGCATTATACTGTTCGTTTTCTTTATAACTGTGTAGGTGCACATTGTACACAATGATTATAGTATACCAAAAATAATAGGAATATATTCAAAATCCAGATTAAATCAAAAATCAGTTTTAAGGTTGATGTCAGCAGCCTGTTATCTTCTGTACATTTTGTGCTCCCTAAACTATCATGTAGCTAACACCGCGATCCAATTCATCGCTGAGATTACAAATGAATTACATTTTTTTTAACTTTAAAAACCTGCATTTCAATATCAGAAGCTTGAGACGCAAAAAACATATACGGACAGACAAAATGACTAACTAGCAAGCTGACTGTGCCAAAGCAAAAACATAATTCTCTGAATGCAATCTATTGGTAATTAGCTAATTATCCAAAATGCTAACTGCCGTTTAGCTCATATAAATGAATTGCATTCTCATAGCCTGTTTTATTAATCACGCTAAAAAAAAATTTCAACAGAGTGACTGTCAAATGAATCTCATGTTATAAGGAGCTGTCTGGAACATATGGACAATATTAGTGGGAATGCGATGCTAGCGGCTGATGAGTGAATCTACGTAACAATTCATGATGAATGATAGTTATAGATGCGGGTCAAGGTTGTGCTTGTTTTTCCAAGTATCAAAAGGTTCTTTTTGATAAAACTTTGTGGGACCAGGTATAAAAACCCTATAAGTAAATCAAACTTCAAATAAACTCGATAAGACAAAAATCCAACCATGCACTTAAGCAGTGTCTCCAGTAATTTGAAGAAACCGCTTTATAAACAATGAGATTACGCTGAAGGAAGCCAGATGCGAACCTGCATTTCAGTACTGTATTTACATTTAAACAAAGAGTTTTCTGGTTGCAGTGGATAAGGCAGGGCTTTAAGTTCATAGATCTTGTCTCTTCTAAGACTAAAATATCTGAGTAATGATAGAGAGGATTAATTTCCCGTATTTCCCGAGGTTATTACAGATGGGTGAATTAAGGGACCCTGTCGGATGTGTTAGCTGTCTGAGTCATTACTGCATGCCATTCCTTCCAAATTCCTGCAGCATGCTCACGCTGATGTTGTAAGGTGGGTGTGGCTTCCAGGGCAGGGTGGAGCCAGGTTACATTCTTTTGCTTCACCTGTTTCCTAGTTCCAGGCATTTAAGACTGAGCTCTGGAATCAAGATGCAGAGTTGAATAGCCCTGCTCTAATCAAAGAACTGAAGGTTGCCAGATCATGATTTAGCACTTGTGCACTTGAGGCAAGTACCTGAACCTCTCCTGCAAGCGGAATCGTACGTAACAGCTGGACCAGTACGCAGTGGGCTACAGCAGCCTGGCTGGTGTTTAAACCCATCACCACCTGTGCATGGGGAGCATCCATCTGTCCCCCTGCTCCCCTGCCCCAGCAGTCCGACGGCTCGGCCTGGCACCTGCGCTGGAACGTGTCTGTGCCAACCGGCCGCAACACCCGGGTCTTTCAGTGGCAGTCCCTGTCCCCGCTCAGTGCTGATGACATCACCGCTCCCTCCGCCAGACGGCCCCTCGTGCACGCCTGTCCCACTCTCCGCCTGCACCTCCTCATGACGCCTAAAATAATCGTGCTCTTCTTACACTCCTGAATGTCTTGCCTATGTCTCGTCTCACACAACTTTCAAATAATCCAACCAGAAATTATTGGCAGAATCACCACCATCGTGAAAACAAAGAAAATCTTTACGAAAGTACAGTAACTTCCACAGCGATTTGTTACTTTTGTCATACTTATGACAGCGGAATGAATAGCCCCCTCCAACAAGCCTATGACACCCCCGCCTGCGATCTGTTCCCGCGCACGGCCAACGAGCGCCTGTGATGGAAACGGCTTCCCAAGTCCGAGAATCCCTGCACCGTGTCACCAGCGGCGAAGGTGTGAACGGCTTCGTGTCAGTTCATAAAAGGGAAACATATTCTTTCTGTAAACAAAGCACTCTCATTCCAGTGGCACTAGATTAAATACCGGAGCGGAGGGGGGTGGGGGGTGGGGGGGGAATGCACTGCTTTACTTTCCCAGATCACCTTTGCAAAAGCTTTTTAGGGATGACGGAATGTGACACACACTTCACACAAGCATAGATGGCAATCAGATAACCCTATAGATGATCTGTCTATACCTGCATATCTGAGAAGATTATTTAAGAAATAATCCAATCACAGACCTACATCCCACACCAGCGGTGAATCATTTTTTTTCCAAACTCACTGATTACATGTATCTAATTTTTGACACATGGATGTTAAGTTTGAAAGTCAATACTGTATTGAATATTTTCCTGCATATATGTAAAAATGTGCTTGTGCAAATTAATCAGGTTGTGGTTGATATTGCACACTAAACAGTTTATTATAAGGAGTCTCTTCACAACACACAGATGCCCTACAGGCCAGCTGCCAAAATTCTTCACACTGGGATCAAACACTGCGCTTCATTATACCTGGTTTATTTAATCATATTTGACCACTGCAGTGGCAAACCCAGTGTCTAAGTCAAAAGCTATTTTTATCCATGAGCATAAACCAAAAGAGGGAAGGAGATCGAGGTTAAAGCAGGACGGAATATTTTAAAAGTAGACCAGTTAACTCAGCTTGTTACCTTAACATATAAGTATTTAAAAATGAAACACTACATTATAAAACATTATGATTTATGACAGAAATCAGTGGCTAACATGTGATCCAATGACACCCATGTGAAACCAGAATAAGCTCCTAAAATGCCTGTATTTCCTCTTCATAAGCTCCTAATTCATAACCACATGGAACAAATATTCATTAGAAATGTTTACCAAAGCTTAGTCATCATTCCGTTTTTTTATTCACTTTGACAAGTGAGTTGAAGTTATTTCACTAATTTCTCTCTGGTCATTTTGTTTTACTCGGCCTTAATGTCATACACAGCAGATGAGAAATAAGGAGATACATATACTTTGAAAGTTGGGACATGAGTCTTAGACTTCGTTAGGTCTTTTCATGCAGTCGGGCTTGCTCATAATGTTTGACTACATGTAATCCAGGCAATGGGATTAACCATGTTGAACATCTTTAATGTATGTTAGGACATACACTTGGTGGTGTCTACCTGGCCGGTAATGTTCGCTGGCACGAATTATCGCAGCACTGTTTAGAGAGCAGCCTAAAATAAAGACGCACTTTTGCGAGATGCTTAAAGACGCCCTGGGACACCGAGGCTCGATCAAGGACAACATTTTGACGCCAATAATGGGAATACGAAGGTTCTTTGCTGAATGACGTCGCCAGGAAAGAATGTGGCATTGCGTTCATGAGTTGGGGTCAGAGTCTCCTGCGATGCATAGTCACAAAGTTAATTATTAATTATTAACAATTAATAATTACTACCACCGCACTGCAACATATTTTCTGATTAGGCCACTTGAAATTAATAAATTGTTTTACATGACTCAAACTTCTAAAATATTGGTGAGTAGGGGATTTTATATTTTATATTTTGGCGAAAAGACGAACGGCAACAGAGATATACTAAAACTAGAAAAGTTCTCAAACAGCTCGCGAAGGGTAATATTACTCGGTATATTGATGCCCTGCCAAGATTTTAATACCGTGGGCCCACACACAATCTGACAAACGATAAAAACCATTGTCCGAGAAGCGTCAAATTGAAAAATCCGAGGCTGACATTCAAGATTTTTCACCCACAGTTTTTGAGGTGAAAAAAAACGATTTTTTGAAAAATATAAAATATAAAAAAAATCGAGGCGGCACCAAAAAATTGAGGCGGGCGGCCATGTAAAACAATGTATTAATTTTAAGTGGCCTTATGGACAATACAGAATCCTAGCCTAAGAACTTAATTCTTCTTCCATGATTTGCCTTACTTTACAGCTCATTGGGAATACCCCCCCCCCCTTCATCATGCATGGACAGCAGGTGGACAAACACTTAGGAAACACCATCAGTCATATTACCCTGATTGACAGCTAGCAATATGTTTCAGGTGCAAGATGTCTGACAGATTCATACATTAGTTTTCAATCCAATATGTAGAGCAGTACCTAAACTGCAATACTGCAGAACAGTATATACCTGAACCTCATAAAACCTGCAAAATCATTCGATGTGCCAAGGGACATGGTCCCAAAGACATGACAGCATACGACAAACATGTACAGACTGCATCGGTCAAGAGGAAGTATGACCAAACTCCCCCAAATTAATCTCCCTCCCTTTTTCCCCACATCCGCACAGGTTTATGTTTGGAGAACATTCAACCTTTCAACCTCATGATGTCGTGCAGCTAATTATGGACATTAAACTCAATGCTACCCCAAACTTCTAAATATGCACTAAGTACTGCTGTGGCTGACTTTCACAGACTGCGTGTTCATTTCTCTTGATTAACACACACATACACTGTATACAGTATGTTGAATATCCCAAACAGGGGGTTTACCAGCCTTGTGCCCGGTGCAGCCTGGCATGGGGTCCAGGCAGCACCCTCACCCTGACCAGGACAGCTTAATTAGAAGGTGAACAGCTGGATAAATGCTGAACATACAAAGGAAACGGTTTGGAATCACCAGCAGTGAAACTCTGTAATGTATAGCTTACAAACATTATGCAAAAAAAAAAAGTCAATAAAAAAAAAACATCCTCATTCAGACTCCCATCCACCTCTGACCTGCACCCATCCCTGCCAAACATCCCAAGGCACTTACTGTCTCTGCAACAATTCCCACTGCAAACCATGTGGCAGCTCGGGCAAGTGAAACAGAAAGAAGAAAGTAAACCAGCCAAAAACGACAGCACTGCATTTTCACCCTAGATAAGAAAGGCTGATATAACTCATGAACTGACCAATCACTGCCAAGCCATTCCACATTCCACATTTCCAGTACAGATACTTAGCAACTACAGTGAGTGCGCCACGTTTCAAATAATTATACGCCCAGTTGGAAAGCATTTTACATAAATAAGTGTGGAATTCTGCTAATCAGCTATTGTGTATACAATAAGTCACAATTTATGGGTTATAACATCCAGACTGCCATTACGTAAACATATAGAAGAGTAACAGGAATTAAGAAAATAGCTGTTGTTAAGTGCACAGTGTGGGTGGGTGTGTTTAGCTGACGGCCAGCATGCTGTGTAGTTAACATTGTTAAATGTTTGCTAATTATTTAATAGCCATAATCTGAATGCATTGGCATTACGTGAGCGTGTTTTCACGTGCGCCCTGATAATCTGTAGTGGCAATATCGCAAGTTACTTTAAAAGCATGCCAACAATGCAGAGCTAAAAACACAACCAGAGAGACTCCACAAAAAAATGAAGTGTTTCACAAATCAAGTCAAGAAGACTAATTAAAATAAAAACGAAAGAAAAGCCTCCATGAAAATATCCTGCAGCTTTTATTTGGTAAAAACCCATAGTAAATGATGATCTCAGCGAGCCTGAGCTGGAAATACTGGATGAAGATATTAATTCAGGATGTAACCTATATGCACCAGGATATCAATCTAAAATACAAATTTCCGAGACTTATTTCGAAATCGCTTCTCCCGATTTACAGTCGGTTGTAAGAAATAACGCAGAAGAGCTCCGAATATATTACTGAGAAGTATATTTGTAGACTGCGTACGTAGTATGTTTTTTTTCTGCACTCCTGATCCATGTAATATACATTACCTAACAATAAAAACAAACGCAAAACAATTTGAAATGTTGATACATGCTACATCCTAATAAATGTTCGCTAGACAGCACCGATATAGAAGAAACGGGACTTACGTAAATGTATGATAAACAACGTGGGCGGGGAGGATTCACGTGATTTTTGTTATTGTCAAACCTACACTGAAATCTGCTCCTGTGATGCGCCATGAGATCACATCATCCGATGTTTTCATATCAACAAGGATCTAAAACAATTTGAATTACGTTTCACTTAATAAAACAATGACAGCGTAAAATAATTTATTGCTGTAAACAAAACCCGGTGATCCGATTATTCTGCGCGGTAAAACGAAAGGGAAACAGAAACCGAGCTTATGTCAAACGTTAGAGGACAAAAAATGAAATGTACTTCCTGATAATCTCCGCGTAAAACATTGTATAACGGCAGATGCACGGTTGAACACCCGCAGAAACACAACTGTGCTTTTAAAGGCTTGAATGGATCTGACAAACGGGCAAATAAAACCGACGCAACGACAGAAATAAGTACAATACAAAGACGTATTAATCACCTGGTTGTTGCTGGTCACCGCTTTGCAGTTCTGGATCTTCCGCCAAAGCAATTCCACAATATGAGTGATATAGAGTGACAGGCGATCAGCTGGAGCTGAACCTGCGCGTCCCCCGCTCGCTCCCCGCGCCTTCGCCCGCCTGAGACCCGCTGCCAGCTTGCCGCAGACGGCCAGCGCGCTGATTGGCTGCGCTGCGTTCCGCTCACTTGTTCGAGTCGCGTCTCCTTCTCCTTTTTTTCCTCCCCTTCTTCTCGGTGATGTAACGTGAAACGATGTCTGGCTTACATGAAGTATTTTCTTTTTTACCCTTAAAAGGATTGCGGGACCCGTTGTGGCGTCTTTGAGCCGAAGATGTCCCTTTTAACGGGGTTTTTAAATGCTTCGTAAAAGTCTTGGAGTCAGGGTCACGGTTTATTTGTATTGGTATTTTTACCGACGTTTGTTCAAAATAGTCGTGTAAACCATGTACTGAAAACTCGTATTGGAAAATATTGGCCCTTCATTAATTTTAACAGAGTGGCACATCGATTAGTGCTGCTGTTTAATACTTCTAGAGTTGGTGGTTTGAATCATACCCCTCAGTTTCTGTTCAATTTTCCTGTTCTCTCCATGGTGCCCAGATCTCGCCCAGGACATCTGGTTCAGCTCCAAAGTTCCATGCTGGTTTCTGTATCTCTGAGGGAGCCACTCCTCACCACCACAGCCCAGGGCTCTCTAATGTACTTTATCACATTGTCCCAACCTTGTGCCCTATACTGCCTCAGGCTAGAAGATAGATTCAATTAAACTGAATCTAAATAGCCTCTAATGTGTGTGTGGCCTGGAATGGACTGGCAGCCTATCTCGAGCCCCCGGATAGACCCCCATGCCTCCCTCTGGCCCTGTATTGTATAGGCAGTATAGCACCATTAGGCTTTATAATTGAAGCACTGGGATGTTACCAATGGAGCTGGGAGCTACAAGTGTCTGTGAACGGAGTGGGTTTCCAAAGTAGTTTCAGAAAAATTAGTCCAGATTTTTCCAGGAAATGCACCCTGGTTTCAGGCCAAGTTCAACTGGTATTTTGGGACTTTCTACAGAGGACAGTCGTGTGGGGGGCTCTGATGATAGGGGAATCAAATCACCCCCCCCCCCCCAAATGAAAATGATTCAGGGTCCGTATTGTGGGGCACACATACGTCATGGATTCAAAACTGCTTAAGTAAAAAGGAGGTTAAACTGTCCTTCTGTTTAAGCTCCTCATTTGCGGGTCAGAAAATTGAAATAATGTGTTATATAAACCACTTTCTGTGATGTATTTTACAGATTACATCATTTCAGAAGAGTCTCATTGTGCAATATGGAGCTTACAATAAGGGGCAGGCACGTATGGCAGGGGGGGGGGGGGGGCGAGGGTGCTGGAGCATCTGACCTTTTTTCTTGAAAAATTGAAACTTGCCCTCCTTTTGAGGTTCTAAGTGCATTTTTTCAATCACTGAAGATCACGCAAAGTTTACCCAAGTGATGCTCCTCCTGATCGAGCCAGGCCTTCACGCCTAACAAATGCTCTTCTGGATGAATGTGCAAACATTCCCACTCCAAAAATCTTGAGGAAAGCCTTCCCAGAAGAGTGGCAGCTGTTATAGCTGCAAAGGGGGGGGGGGGGGGGGGCATATTGGTGCCTATGGATTTCGTGCCATGTAGGTGTAAGGGCCAAGAGACCCAATACTTTTTCCATACAGTATATTTAAGGTTACCTCAAAGGTAAGTCTGATGGAACGTATGTTGTGAATTTCTGACAGGACCAGCATATAAAATTATGTAATAGTGTTTATTACAAAACGTTGATTTCAATCGCGCAGTAAGTTTTTTCTAATAAAAAGTGTGAGAAGCAGCTTTTAACAAACCCCAACAGCCCCACCTAGTGACGATAGGGTTTATTGCAGCGGCTACATTCGAAAGCGCCTTAATTCCACAGCCTTCTTCCGATCCATAATGCAAACACAGCAGCAGCAACAAACTGCCCAAGATGGTGGCTCCCAAAATTCACCTTGCCTCTGTCCCCCGCTGTTGCTTTTCTATTCAGACGATCAGTTTCCAGATCAGCTGGAAAAAAAAAGCTTCTGCTTTTTAAAGCCATACTGTTGAACAGCTGAATAGCTATGATACGCAAGAGATCTTGACTTCGACATATATTAAATAAAATTTTATTCAAGACAAGAAAAAGAGGAAAAATAGCCTACTAGTCTCCTAACAAACAGGGAATAACAAACTGACAAAATTGTCACTTATTAACAATAAAATGAGTAAAATGCAGCAATAAAAAAAGCAACATTTGTTCTCAAAATATTCATTTGTTTTTGCAACATACAATATCCCCTCCATATCTACATTCAACGCAGAACAGAGAACACTAAATCTATCAGTCCCATTGCCGACGGAGCCTGACTCCAGGATCGCTCAGCGAGTTGCGTTCCAGGCCGTGGCTGCGCAGTCGTTTAATATCGCGTACACAACGGGCAGCTGTGGCTGCGCAGTCGCTTGATATAGCGTAAATAACGGGCATCTGTGGCTGCGCAGTCATTTGATATAGCGTAAATAACGGGCATCTGTGGCTGCGCAGTCGTTTGATATGGCGTACATAACGGGCAGCCCTTATGGGACGACGAGCACAGCGGCAACGCTAGGGCAGTTCCTGTGGGGGTAAAGTCATTTGCTGCTGCTGGTGATCCACCATGGGCTTCATAACGGAGCTTCCCAAAGGGTTCTGGGCAACAGGTGCCCCCTCCCCCGACACCCTTCTGGGGAAACCTTGGGCTGCCATCCACTCGTCTTTGCCTTGCCTCCAAAAAACAGCGTCGTCCGCGTTAACTCCTCCTTTCGTCAGAGAATTAGCATTAGCACAACATTCGAAAAGCAATAAAAACAAATAACCTGATAGGTAAAAGTACAAGCTTACCTGGTAACCTCTGCGAGTGTGATTTGGGCAAATGAGGAAAAGACGTCACTGCATTGCCAGGATTTTGTCGAAGACCATCCATCTAAAACACATTGTCATGAATACGATTAATCTATATAGCAGATGCTTTTACCTAAAGTGACATACGACTGAACGCAGGGTTAGAAAATCCCTGGAGCAACTGGGGGTGAAGGGTCTTGCTCAGGTACCCAATGGGGAAGTGACTTTGCCGTCTCTGGGATTTGAACCCTTGCACAGGCGCAGAATTCTAACACACTAAGTTCCAGTTAAACGCCTTGATGTTTAATAGGGAAAAAAAGCCAAGATGCCGAACTAACCTCTCAACCTATCGCAGCCAATCAGGATCAGAGTAAAACGGTAAGCCTGAACAGGTAGTTTACCTCCGTACAGAACGCTGCAGAGAGTGGACCGGCAATCTGCCCTTTATCTTGATACCTTAAGGCACTGTGGGACGACAGAACATGAAACCAGATCACCGAGATCCACAAAAAGAGAACAACAATCAGCTATGGGGGTTTGTGGCTAGAATTTTCTAACCTCTACAATTATTCTCTAGATCAAGTTACTCAGGATGCATAGAGAGAGACGTGACTGACACACTAATTCTACACTTATTCTCATAAGAGGCTGCAAACACTGAACACACTGAATCACTATGATGTTAACAAGACCATGCCAAGTCATCTACTAATATCGAGTGCGGATTCAGAAGCAGGGGAGATCTTTGGTGTGTCTAGTCAATTTCTTGAGGAAAGTTGTAAAAGGACAAAAACAAATACAAGCTACTAGCAGAAGCCATAGCCTTAATAAAGCCTGATGCACAATGTGTGCAACTATTAAAGTCCAGCAGAACTGAATCCTACCTGGTCTTGCCAGGCAAAGGTGCATCACAGTCAATGGTTGTTTCCACATGGGGCAAATGCTACAAAATATATATATATATATATATATATATATATATATATATATAATAAATAAAGCAACAATTTAAAAAGCACAAGATATCCAACCATTTCCTGTAACCGCTTGTCCTGTTCAGGGTCATGGGGTGTCCGGACCCTATCCCGCAAGCTATGGACGCAGGCAAAGGAAAAACCCATGATGGGGAACCAACCCATTGCAGGGCACACTCACACGCCATTCACTCACACGGAGAATCTGCTAACTCCGATTAACCTGAGCATGTTTTTGGACAATGGAGGAAACCGGAGTAGCCAGAGGAAACTCCATGACGACATGAGGAGAACATGTAAAATCCACACGGAGCCATGGGTGAAAGACTCAAAGCAGGGCCACAGCGGTGAGGCAACAGTACTACCCACTGCGTCACCGTGCTACCCACTGCGTCACCGTGCTACCCACTGCGTCACCGTGCTACCCACTGCGTCACCGTGNCTACCCACTGCGTCACCGTGCTACCCACTGCGTCACCGTGCTACCCACTGCGTCACCGTGCTACCCACTGCGTCACCGTGTTCCCCCTTACAAGATGTCCTCACATACCAAACTAACCAGTGACTGAACAATTATGGCTGAACAACATGCAAGACGGACTTGCCATGCTTGCATTAGTGCTTTTTAAATCCTTTGCTCAAATTTCAGGCTCAGATTACACATGCATTCAATGTCAAACGCGGTGGCTTTAAGGGAGTAAACTGATCAGTCACGGGTTTGTTTTGTATAGGTTCCATCTGGCTCAGAGCTTTTACCTGTACAGAGACCGACTTGGAGGATGCGGACTGAGCAGCTGTTTCCAACTTCTCCCGGGGAGCGTTAGTGTGACGTTGCTTCACGACGTAGTCATAGGTGCTCATGTTCCTAGTCACTGCATACGGAGAAAGGGAAATGCTATCCACTTCCCCGAACTTAACTCAAGAGCCATGATAATTAAGCATGCGACTGTTTTGTGAGACAAAACCAGGATTTCAAGCAGGTGTGGTTAAATGGAAAGACATACGCAGGTAGATGTGGAAGCCAAGAAGGTGACCCAGGAGCAGGAAGGAGACCAAAGCCAGCAAAAACGTGGCAAACGCCAGGACCAAGAGCCCTGCTTGGCTCGTCTCCAGGGGCACCAGCGGCAGGAAGACCAACCACGTTCCGTTCTCACGGATGCCTACAAAAAAAGACAAGTGTCCTTTCAACTCACAGGCCTGCCAAGTCTTTATATAGTTACAAGTAAACTAATGACTGCCATCAGCCATGTTAAACGGAAAAAGCAAACACCTGGCAAGGACCATACGTCCAACCTCAGATTAAAGATGCAGACATTCAGTCCTCGGGGCTCAAACTAAACTCTAACAGTGACTGGCTCTTACTGTCAAAGTGGGGAGACGTGCGAAGGAGTGCAGGGTTAGCCATGGCCTCGATGAAGATGAAGAGGACGAGCAGAAGAAGCACCAGGAGCCCCAGAGCCGCCGAAGCCACAGTCACGAAGAAACACCTGATAAATATTCCCAGTACATCCATCAGTCCTACTGGGAGACCTGCCAAACACTTCCCACTCAGACTATGAAAAAACCAGACAGCCAAAGTCATCTCTGCAGGGAAGGCCTGGCCTTCACTCGCCCTCACCAGTAATTCTTCCCACCCACGCAGTTGTTCAGCCACTTGCAATGGTGGTCAAAATCCGCTATGCACTTGTTGCAGTTACTGCAGTGTTTGACTCGAGAGCCTCTGAAAATAAAGAAAAGATCCCCCCCCACCCCCAGTTACCATTCAATAGGGATGATGATGGAAATGTGTATTGTGGGAAACCAAAAAGAAAAACTAGAAGCTACTGTGCCCAAAAATTCCCAAAAATGTTTTGTTTTTTTTTTTTGGTGAAACACATACACGTCGACCTCACACAGGTGACAGTGCAGGTTCTGGATGACGTGAGGGTGCTTCTTCCGGTCCAGCACAGGCATGGGCAGGGAGTAGTTCTTCCTGGCGCGGACGCTGGGGTCAGCCGGGTCGATGGACACCGCCAGCAGATGTGCCACAAGGTGAAAAAGAAAGGTGATGCCGACCACCTGTGCGGTTTCAAATGTTAAGGAGCAGAAGGGTGAAGGCAGCCAGACAGGGAATTATGTCCAGTGAAGAGCGCCGACACCCATTAACACAGAGGCAACTGTATTTCTAAGGGTCAGATCCTACAATATACCACCCCCTCATTCCCCATGTTAAAATTTGTCGATGCAAAACATATATACAAATACAAGACCAATTACCGAATGGCTTTAAAATAATTATTTTTCCGGGGGGCTGAGACGACAAAACAGGGTCCAGAAATAGGGTCCGCTATTAAATGTTACATTTAGAAAAACAGCAGAGGGTGGGACACAAGCGAACACTGATGCAAGATACTTACACACAATAGACAAAAAGACAGCAAAATGGTTTTGCCAAATGACTGAAGCAACTGGAAAGCCCAATTGTGACACGATTTATACCAAATAACATAACTTATCTATAAAAGAATGCAGTATTCTCCTCCAACTAAGCATAATGAAAATGAAACAACATTTTCCCTGCTCTGAAGAATCATCACAAAGAGGCACTTTGGCTCCGTGTAAGATGGGGCGATTTGTACTATGAGAGCATCGGGTTTTTTATAATAAACCCCTTTATTGTAGGTATTACCAAGTGAATGACAAACATGGTAATGAGGTGAGGATCGATGTCACAGATTAAGGGACAGGGTGGCGATGACACTGGAAGCCCGTGAGAAAGTCCTCATCTGGGCCTGAGATACCAGCAGCTCCAGGATCCATAACACGCTTTTCCATTACACCATCACACTCCTCAGTCTTAGTGCAATCTTTTAGTAACAGTGAGATAAGCCAGACAAGAACTGTAGTTAATAATCTAATAGAAACAAAATTGAGAGTTAATTAATGGAGAAAAAAAACAATACACATCCGCTATCCATTTCACAGAAATAATTTAGCAGTTTTTACAAAGCTTTTCATGGAAGGATGCATGTAAAAATTACTCAGCACTAACAAACTGTTGTGAGGCTTGACAGGAACCGTAACCTCAATTTAAAAAGATTAAAAGCACAAACAATTAATCACAGACATACATTTTACACGCAGGGCAAGGATACAGCGTAAACAGCGGACGCCCATGGTGGAGGCAAGAGGGGGATATAGATCCCGAATGCAACCACAGCCATGTAGCTGTAGACCAGCCATCCAATGAGCTGGAAGCTGTGGAGCGGCAGGGACCACCCGTTAACGCGGGAGTGTGCCGGTGGCGTCACCAGCTCGTTATGGCAGTCTCCACTAGAGGGAGCTGTGCGCCGCAGCCTCCGTGCAAAGGCGTTCATCTGGAAAGGCAGGAAGAAGGTCAGCATGGCGGCTAGCGCACCTTGTCCTTCCGGTCTAGAATGTTAACACGCAACAGAAACACAAGTCTCATGCTGCTAATGCCACATTTGCCAGGGAAATGAGGTGGTTTACAGGCACGGAGCTGTATTTATGATTAAAATGTACAACCTACATGCATATCATTCACTCATCAGAGAAAAAAGGCAGATGGGTTGATGCTTTTTGCAAATGCAAGAAGAAACACAACACTGCGTTCAATTCTACCTGCTGATCCATTCCACTGTAACAAGGCCCAAACCCATTCCCTACTCCCTACTGGTCTTGAAAATGGAACTCCAGAGCCATCCGTCTACGGTGGTTATCCAGTTACTGTTTTATTCAGATGGCCAAGGAAAAAGCCAAGATTGTAGCAGCGAACACTTTGTGAGACCCATTTGGTTGCCTGTCTGAAGCCCCCTGAGTACTGGTTGGCTTGTGGTCTGCTTTTGGTGCCATTACAGGGGTACTTCCAGTACAGTGCGTGCAGGTTACCATGCGGTGCCGCAAATAAGCAGACCGTACTCTTATTTAAGAAAGTTATCAACTGAAAAACAAAGCAGATACTTCCTGTAAAACCAAACACATATGGCCAGTTTCCCAGTCAAGGATTAAGCCTAAGCCTAGACTAGCTTTGAGTTACAATGGTGAATCTCCATTGAAACGGCAATTTAGTCCAAGACTAGTCTTAATCCTAGTTCGGGAAACCGACCCATAGTGTTTTCAGATAAACCACATATATTTATTTCCAGCTCCTTTAATATCTAAATTCAACAAGGCAAATATTTAAAAGAAAATAAAGTGACAGTTACCTTAATCTTCCCCAACATTGGCCGATACCACAACTAAATTATTAAAATCAGGTCTACATATTTCTCTTCACCATATCCAGTTTAATAGCGACCATACAGCAGTTATGGGAGACTTATTAACAGGAGATGACAGGAAAGCTAAACAAGGCTGTTTAATGACCACATCCCTGAAACAGAGGCATCTCATTTGCATAGAATATTTTCATCTATCTATTCTGAGAAGGTGATCCTGGAGCCCACCCAAAAATAGCACACATCTGATGTAATGATCTGGGAGATCTTTTGGGTTTTATTAAAGGAGACGGCTCTGCTGCTGACACAGCTGGTAGGACCTCTGTCTCCAGAGAGAGAAAGAGAGAGGAGAGAGTAAGAGAGAGAGCCCGACTTATCACAACGCGCATTTAACACAGGGATCCTAGACCACAAATCCTGTCACTGTTGGTTTCTGCTCAGTAGTTCCTCCTTTCTGAATCACAATACATCGATCAGTCCTCTATTTCAGCATTGTCATTAGAGGTTTTCCACCTTGTACCTTTGTCCAAGCATATAATGTTTCGTTCATAGTAGGCAAGTCCTGTTACGCTGTACCATGTTCCCGTCCCATGTAACTGAATAAATGCAAGATTGCTTTAATGGAGATTCTTCTCGGTCACACATAAGCCATGAGAGTGGGTCATTCTACACCATGTTTTTAAAGTTAACTCCCATCATTCCTCGCCCTGAGAACAACTTGAGAATGAAAAAGCACCCGGTAAGTTCCTTTTTTAAATCATTCACAGTTTCTGTTTAAGATTAATTGAGGTTTAACATCCCTCTCCAGCGCGTTAGTCCCTGTGGAACAAACAAGAACTTCCTGCGCTAAATGCCAGTGAGTGAGACTCAGTTGCCTAGCGAAAGGTCTCCCTGTTTGCGCTCCTGTCCGGCAGATTAGTTCGCTACGGGTTGTTTTGTTTAACAAATAACACAAAATCCCGTTTCCACAACCGGGAAAACGGAAAATAAAGTACACATATGCTCACCACGGCCTCACATGCGGGGATCATCCCAAGGATATAGTTACCAAATGTTGCATGCTTGGAAAAACAGCAAACAAAACATGTCAACAAAAATCCAAGCGCGGCCAGACGACTAATTTGAAAAAAGAAAAACTTCAACGTAAAAAAAAAAATAACATTTGGCCACTGTGTTATGTAGACATTTTCTACATGACATTTCAAGGCTTTCTAACAGTTTAACCCAATATATAATCACGATATTTGAATGCATATATACAGCTGACAATGATAAGTAGCCGTATACTTACATTCAGGCGAATAAGCGACGGATGCAGAATATTGAGTGATGATTTTTACGGGACCGTCGGTATAACAGAGCCCCGTCCAAACCCCCCAGCCGCGCTACCCGTCTTGATCCCCATCGTCTCACTAATAACTAATCAGTGCGCAGGTGACTCTCCAGCAAAGGCGCGTAAGGGACGGGCGGCCAGAACTAGCGCAAAATGCTGCTTTGCTGTCGGACAAAAGCAAGGAAAAAGCAAAAGCACTCCCTACTAAAATACGCGCAGATCCACTCGACACGATAATTGAAAGCTGTAGTTGAACTCAAGCGGAACTGCTATGGAGACTATCTGCCGCGGCTCGCCTTCCCTCTCCGTGGTCTTAAAGTGACCCCCGGCTGGCCGAGCGCACCAGAGCCAGTCCTACCGTAGGCGGCCTGCCGGCTTCGGGTTCACGTCGCAGGGCAAAAGTTAGAGAATAAGGTGCTAGCTTCTGCAGCACATATAAGTTAGAAAATAAGATGTAGTGCAAACAGCATGGTATTGTGTATTATGGACGTAAAGGATAGTGCGGGCAAGACATCAACACAGCCTGGCAAAGTCAATACTACAAGGAAGCTGTTGGACTGGTTTTGTTTTGTTTCACATAGTGGGAGTGCAATTGTAGATTATAATGTAAAGAAATTCTAAGATGACGGTTTGCGGTGTCTGTATTTACCAAGAACACATGAAAAACCAGATATCCACGTAAATATCTCTGTCAGTAAAGCAACTGAGATTTTGTGTACTATGCAAGTTAAAGTGTAGGCTTTGTACCGCACACCTTGTACAGTAACTACTGACTGGATACGTACCCAGTTTAAACCCAGCAATAGCACTCCTGCGTTAAACACAATGGTCCCTGATAAGGCTGATAGCATTTAGTTTGGATTTCTTATTCCAAAGCTTTCTCCATAGCTAAATGGGTCGTTGCCAGTACAGTGGAATCCGCTTATACCGATCATGTTTGTCTGGGAGAAATAGATCATTATAACAGATTCCCCCCCCCTTTTTAGGGGGGAATCAGGCAGATTTCCATCTGATATTTGTATATTTATTACATGAATATAAGGTAATAGAAAGCACAGCATATTTGTATAGGAATGATTCTGTCTCAAGCTTATTGATCCATATAAGCGGTCAATCACTATAACCACGATCACTATATGCAGGTTTCACTGTCCTTGATGCTGAGGAACTGGCATTCCCGTTTTCTATTTTTAGAGGTGTGGATGAATGTTTTTAGTGATAATTTACTGTGCCATTATTAATTACTGCTTTGGACAAATATATAAGCGTCAAGCCATATCTTTTCTCCTTTACAACAGGTACCTCAATGGAATGCTGCAGGATTAATAAAACAGATGGTCCATATATTGTAATGGGAGGTGGGTAGATGCAGGCTAATGAATAGCTAATAGCTAATGCAGGCTTATGAGCTAATGAATAGCTCATAAACTATTGGTGGTGGCTTGATGGTTAAGGAAGCGCACTTGTAATTGAAAGGTTGCAGGTTCGAATCCCCGACCAGCAAAGGCACCACTGAGGTACCCTGAGCAAGGTACCGCCCCCAAGCACTGCTCCCCAGGTGCTGAATTAGCTGCCCCCTGCTATGTCACATATGGGTTAAATGCAGAGGACACATTTCGTTGTTGCACGCTGTGGTGTGTTGACAACGACCACTGATCACTTAATTCTAATAAACAATTAAAATCAGTATAAGAGGTGTGTAAGGACCAGGGCTGGAAAAAACATGACACATATCATTGTCTCACCTTATTAATCAATAGCTAAAGGCACTAATCTAGGCAGTCATCCTATCTAAATAGGGGCTGTAATTCTGTATGCTTGTCACAACTGAGATCAGCTACACAACTGCCCAACAATGATGTGCTGTCTCAATTCAATTAATAACCTTGCTGTTTTGTGGGAAAATCTGTAACTTTATGTAATTAACCAAATGAATAATTCAACAGGTGACGTAAGGTCATTGCTAACTTGGTAGCTTTTAGTTCTGCTAGTGACTCTGGTGCACAGGTTACAAGGGTGGCCTCGCAGCACTACTGCTGTAGCTTTGAATCCCACCCCAGGGTAAGTATAGGCTTCCTCCTAGTCCAAAAATACGCCCTTAGGCAAACTGGCGTCTCTACGTTTCCTGCCCCATGGCTCCAGTAGGCTCCAGGCTTGTAGTGTTTCCCAGTCTGGTCCTTGGGGGCCCACAGACCGACCATGTTTTCACCGGGAGTTGGGAGGGAGCAAAAATGTACACTGTCTGACAGGGAGCTTGGAGGGAAGAAAAACATGGGCTGGCTGTGGGCCCCCGAGGACCGGATTGGGAAACACTGTAGTACAGAATAAGCAGTAATGAAAGTTATGAGAGACAGGGGAAATAAACATTAAAAAAAAAAAAAAAAAAACGCTGAAAGCACATTCAGGGTGGGAATATTTAAGGAGTTTCTATCAATGATTTCAATCAAAGTAGGACACAGTGAAGAGACTGGCTGCTAGTGCGGCATAAAACACTTATGTGAAGTAATGTTCTGGGGGCATTCTTGAGTGACCTTAAGCAGTAGGCCAAGCCCATTTTTGAGAAGACCCCCTGAGTACATGCAGGCTGCATATAGCCCAATGGCCGCCAACTGGTTGATTGCAATCGATAGATCAATCTTCAAGACATTAGTAGTCCATTACAATAGCCTCATTCTCCGATCGGTGAAACAGTGAACTGACCTCCACCACAGTTACAACTGTAGATTTTGCCAATCAGTTGGAGATCACTGCTCTAGCCTATTAGACCACCTTAGAGGAACATGGCCAGGTACGATGAAGCAGTACCAAAGAAAGCCCATCTCCTGCACCTTCTTCCCCGTCTGACCCATCGCGGTCACCACAGGTCACTCTGACAAACGGGAATCCTGGATCTTGGGGGCACATGGCCAGGGGCACATGGCCAAGTACACAAACAAAATAAACACAAACACTTTGATAACATATAAAAAGATAAAAAGAAAACCCTCAAAGAGAATTTATTCTCAAAACTGACCAGCACATACAAATGTTCATTCTGTACAATCATGACTAAAGACTTAATTCACAACATGACCATGTTCCTGTATTCCCTACATTAAAAAAAACAAACAAACAAAAAAAATGTATGCTACAAATCTGTGGAAAGGAGCCAGGATGCCATATTGCACTGTGTGTCAGTCAGCTGTTGGCAGTCGAGCCCGGTTCTGGAGACTGGAGGAACTCATATGGATCATGAACCATCTCAGGCTGATCTCCAACACCCAGGTGTGACGGACTTCCTGAGAAAGGGCGAAACGGGGAAGGCGGCACTGAACTGACAGCTTGCTACAAGGACGATTCCCAGAGGCTGCATGTTCCTTTGAGGTCTTCATGGAATCAGTGCAAGAGAGACCTTCCTGAACAGTAACGCCAGGATGGTTCACATCAAGCCCGACTTGGTGCTTGATAGGAATTAAAGTAGCAGAAGATGGCATACAACCAACATTTTTGAAAGTAAGACTATTGAAACATAATTCGCAAACTAATATATGGTACTGTGAAACCAAAGATCTGTAAAGCTTCACTAACAGGACAATCAATACGTAAAGGATTGGGGGTGGGGGTGGGGGGGGTGCCATTTTACAACACGAGCTGTGTATCTATCTATCTGCAATAATGTTTTGTTGCGGTCAGCTTTAACAACATCAACACAAGACGTGAGATGTTGAGCATCTAATAGGGGAAACATTACCGGGATGCTCTAATGAAAAATATATATCCGTGACAAGGTTAAAGGAAATCTAAAAATAAAGCTTTAAAATCACGTGAGGACCATCTTCAGACTCTAGGGGAGGAGGCGCTCACCGAGATGGTGCTGGTCCCTCTCCGAGGCGTTGGAGAGCGAGGAGACGTTGGAGGACGGCCGCGAGCCCACGCGGTCCAGCTGCGCCTCCTGCAGATCCTGCAGCAGCTTGGCCGTCTCGAAGTGCAGGTGGGCGTCCTCGTGTTCTGGCTCCTTTTTCACTGCCTTCCCTGCAGACGGAAGAGAGATCGAGATGGGAGTGACCCGGCTGTGGGGGAAGGAAAATAAATATGCAAACGGAAAAGAAACAGCTTCAATGAGAATGTACGCAGAAGGAAGCCTCACCCAGATTGTTCAGCACAGACATATCTAAAGACATTGAGTACGGCTTCATGGACATGAAATCCAGCACAGAGTTATTCTCTCCCGATATCCCCGTCCCGTCACCAACCTAGGGCAAACAAACACCAAGGTTATGGGGTATCTCCCCTGAAATGCCACATCGCTTAAATACACCACCCTTATCTCAGGAACGCCGGATCTGGCAAGACAAACAGTTACCTGCATTTCACACAGGCTGGACCTCATCTCATCAGGGGACTTCACTGAAATGTTTCTTTTCTTCAGCAGGAAAATATATTACAATAGCTTTTTAGCTGGCATACTGAAATACATTCTTACAAAATGAAAAACCAATAAAAACTATATAAATAATAAACATTGAGTAAAACTGTTATACTAGTGAGATACAAAGGGATGGTAATATTTAAGGATGAACAAACTTTAGTTACAGTTTTGTTTAGTTCAAGTTAAGCAATGAATCCAATCAAAAGCATTTCACATCGATATCATTTTCAGACCGAGTCCCTGACTGACGCCAGCACAGATCGCCACCCCCCACGCGGATGGGTACCTGTCGGATCTGAAAGACCGCTTTAGAATGGTCGTTCCCCGTCATCTTGTCCAGCAGCTCGTCCACCAGCTTCTTGGTGACACCCCCACAGCCCTTCACGAACTCCTGCAGGCTGAAGGTCAAAACAGTCCGTGGCTGTGAGTTACCCGCCGGCACCCCCCAGGGGACGCTTTCCGCGGCGGGGGGCAAAGCCGGCGTTTACCTCAGAGCGCACTGCACTCCCGTGTCGTCGCCATAGGCCGAGTAGAGCAGGTCCATCTCCTCGGGGAGCAGGTCTGGGTACACCGTGTTGTTCTGCAGGGACTGGGTGTTGTAGGCACTGTTCAGGAATGTCACTGCAGAAAAAACACTGGACAATGGAAACTGTGTTCCGTGCACACACACAAAAAGAAGCGCTCACTGACGTTTCCATGCGGTCACAGTTTTTTAGCACAGCTCCTTATTTATTCATCGTTTCTGACTTCCAGTACACTGCGGCCACAGTTCAGCTGGCCTTGTCACATAGGATTCTTATTACATGAATACACAAAGGTCATATTTTTACATGTCGGTCTGTTTTGAGGCACTCCAAACACGGAACAGCAAGGGAACACAAAAATGCGGCTTGTGTGTGCACCTGACACAAACCTTTGTGTCGTCTGTCATCTTTGAAGCCAAGGGTGGTCAGGCCAGGCAAAAGTTTGTTCGACAGGGAGCTCAGATCCACTGGGTGAGTCTCCTCATCTGCAGAACCATATGGGGGAAAAAATAAGACATTAAAATCAAATGGTAGCCCATTTTTCAATAAAGCTTAAGGCTTTGAGCTGGCAGGGGATAAAACGTGAACGGAAAGCAGCATAGCTCGAAGCGAGGCCGCTTAATAGTGGAACGGGCCCTCGGGAAGACTGGCGCCAGTGTTCGCATTTAGGTGAAGTGGAAAATGTGACCCAACAATGGTAGGAAAAAGAATGGGGTTTGTTTTTCTCCTTCCCCCAGGGGCCATGTTTCTCGGCTCAGCATGTGAGGAAAAAAAAAAGAATGAATGAATCACAGAGATGTGGGAGTGATTGGGGAAATGGTGCGAGCCTCGCCTTCTGCCTGCGGGTCTGCCTGGTTCACCACCGTGTACAGCAGCGCTCCCTCCGCTTCCTTCCTCAGGTACCCGATCTAATGGGAAAAGACAGAAGCCACGTGACCAGGCAGCCTACTGTCACCCCGGTGTGCAGATCGCGGCCACAGACGTGGGATGCCCCTGTTCACTTATGACTGCCTCTGACTGCTGATGTTTCAGCTGACCTGTAACATCCACACTTTCTTCTTGGCCCTAGATATCCCAACTACATCACATGACGTTAAAGGCAGATGTCAATGGCAAAGACGGAATACTGCTCACTATACGTTTGCCATCCAGATATAACAATGGTTATTAGAATATAGCCAATTTGTTCAGCGTTAGCCATCATACAATGCTAAGCACCATATTAACATTTAGTGCCTTGTTTAGATACAAATATTTTTTGCGCCTTATAAATGGTATTTGCCACTGTACTGATTTCGCATTATGTCAGGCTCTAGAAAATATAGATTTAAATGAGCATTATAAGGTAAGTTGAGTTCACTTATGGTTTGCTAGGACGTGTACGGAACTCCTGATCACGGATTGTGGAAAACTGGAAACGAACAATAAAAGCATGTGCATGCATGCATGCATACACAGACACAGACACACACACAGTACCTTGGAGTCTGGCATGAATCGGTTGAGCCGGTCCCGTGCCTCATCAGCCGCATGCTCTACCAGAGCCAGGACGTGTTCCTCGGCTGTGCTGTCGGTCAGGCTGCACGCGTTTCCCTCAGGCTCAAACAGGTAACTGTGTGTGCGAACAGGCAGGTTAAGGAGGGCATCGGTTACAATGGTGGCCGAAATCGTCAAATGTGCTTGATGATTAAAGGAAGAGAACCGATTAATGGTCGAAGCCCCTCACAGCTCAAGTCCTTTTCAACACTCAAAAAATAAATAAATCAAAACACAGTTGGGAAGGAGGTCCTCAGAACACCAGGAAGATGGTTTGCTGACACGCTAGCAGACACCCTCTCCTATGTTATTTTACCTGATGACCTCTTTCATGTCTTTGACTGGCTGTTTTTTGGATTTCTTGGTCGACTCGACCGGGGCGGGGGCCACCTCAGGAGGGGGCTCCTCGGGGGCGATGTCCTCGTCCCCCAGGATGGCCGCCTGCTGAGAGAAATCCATGTCCTGCATGAACGACACGCTGCGCTTCAGAGCTAAGAGACGCTCCTGTAAACAGATCAGAGATAACAGCCCCACGGGGGGGGGCGCTTTACTTGCGCTGCAGACAGGCCGGAGCGCGCCATCACGACCAGCGGGGGGTTGGGGGGCCTTATGGGGACGTGCCGGATGACGCGCCCCCCTTGAGAAACAGAGCAGAGATGGACTAACATCTAATCTAAGCCATATGACAGCTAGAAAACTACAAGCAAACACCGCAAATTACTCCTCAACATTTATAAATGTCAGATTTTAACTACGAAAGTGGTGAAAACCCTGTCTACATGCCTCTTTTGACACATTTTAGGTGGTAAACTAACACAAACCTAGAAAATCACTTTATGCCATGCTGTATAAAATTTCACTAGTGAACAATTCTGGGAATGCAAAAATTAGCACTGTGATGAAGCGTGACCATATATGGGAGATTCCTTACCTTGCTCATCATCTTGAAGCCTGTGTGCAGCAGCTTCTTGGCTGCCTTGTAGTACACGGTCTCTGGCCGGTTGTACACCATCGCGTTCTCGCACATCAGTTTGAAGTCTGCCTGCGGCCGGCGGAGGAGAGGAACGGGCCTTTGAATGTACGGCTCCAAAGCCGAAACGAGCGTTCTCACATGGGGTCTGGCTGATGGATCTTATCAAGCGCTACACGTTTTCCCAGACTAATGCAGCCCCCAGTGAGACGGCTCAGGTGCTTACCACACTGGCAGTGTAAATTGAAATTGCTCCCTGCAAAAGGGAGCCCCCCGCTGGTGGCTGAACTCATGACACCTCAATCACATGGGTAACCATTCACACCTCACTTGCCTGCACAGCCGAGATGGCCTTACCTTGAACTCAGTGACGGTTTTATACTCGTTGGTGGCGATCTTGTCCTTCATCGTGCTGAAGTCCATCGGATGCTTGATGATCATAGAGTAGCCGGGTGCGATGGCGTCCGTCACAGGGAAAGCGAAGAACCCATGAGGGTCCTTTCTATAATGACAAAGAGAAGCCATCACTGGAAGGCGGGTATCACGAGGGAATACAGATCGGAATCTTAAAGGACACAATCCAACTCTAACAGACAGGGGGACGGACAGAATGACAGACGGATAAACTTTATTACCCTCCCAGTGTCATTTCCAATTTACTAGCAGACATGTTCACAGAACAGCTGAAAATCAACTTTTTCTGCCCAGTGATTCAGAACTTTACAGCTTTAACACCTGTCACTCTACTAAGAAGGAGATGCAGGTGCTCCTCGACTTATGATGAGGTGATGTTCCAATGTACCACATCCACTGAAAGTGGAAAATATCACGTTGAATATGAATATATAAGCAAATACTGTCATTAAGTAAATTATTTATTACTGTAACTACTTAAATACCAGCAGTTGAAAATGAATCAATAAGTTTATTTGGTTAAACACTGAAAACACACACCATGCTATGCATTGTTAAACACTGTAGGACAGGGGTCTCAAACTCCAGCCCTGGGGGGCCGTAGCCCTACACAGTTTTTGGTTCACCCTCATTTAACACACCTGATTCAACTCTTTGTGCTAATTACCACACAGCTCTTGAGCTGAATCATTTGTGGTGGAAGGGGGAAAGAACTAAGCTACACAGGGCCCCGGCCCTCCAGGACCGGAGTTTGAGACCCCTGCTGTAGGAGATGTTTACGCTCGTGATCGCTACAAAGACTGGAAGTGTGGCTGCGTGGGGGCTTCCATGGCCTGGCACCAGTATAAAGTATCACATGGCTCATCACTAGCCTGGGAACAGTTCAGAATTCAGTGTTGACTATTGAATGTGCATCTCTACTGCACCATCATAAAACCAAAATACAGCAACTTGAACCATCATAGTGAAGAGCTTCTTTATTGGCGTTAAGGACACGTTCATCAGCTGCAAAGTACAGTGTCTTGAATCTTGCACTTCTAACTTTTTAATCAGTGCCGAACCAGAGCAGCAAGATCTTATGCATGACTCAAACCGAACATTCCGCAATAAAAGCATTACACACAGGCAGTCGCCACGGCAACACCTCACCTCTGCAGCTGGCGCAGGAAGTGTTCCAGGAGCTGCTGCCGTGGGGTGCACTCGTTCTCTGCAAGGTGCAGCACACACACAGAATGTGACACTGAAATCACACACAGCTAATGGTGTACAAGTGCAGGGCTCCAGGGCTCCAGGGCCCAGGCCTCTCACCTTGCTGGGTCCGGCAGGCTCTGACGGGCCGGTCCGTGTGCTGCTCCACCTCCACCTTCAGCCCGGGCTGGAACTCATCCACCTCCGCGTCAACGTCGCTCACCCTTTCCCTCTTCCGCTTCTTCTCTTCCAGCTGTTGACACAAATCCATGCACAATGGTGAAAACACGCCCCCCCCCCCGAAGCACGGGGCTTTTTGTTATCATCAAAAACACATTTCCCAAGATGCTTAGGGTCGGCTAACCTCTACTGGTTTAGGCAACGTGAAGGGATCTATTGCCACACTGGCTTCAGTTTCACACTGCTCCCTCTCTCGTTTCTTCTTCTTCTCCTCCTGAAAAACATAAACAGAACAGAAATAAATGACATTAATAATTAATAAAGGAATAACAGATCCTTTTGGAAGTAAGCAGTGTCTCCATTCACTAACCTTCCGTCTCCTCCGCTCCTCGTCGTCGACATGCTTGTCCTTCTCCCGGTCAGACTTCTTCTTCTTTTTCTTCTTCTTCTCCTTGTGACGTTCTCGCTCGTGATCTGACCGGTCATCGTAGTAGCTGGAGTCGTGTCCTGAGCCGGAGAGCTCAGTCACCTCGCTGCCTCCCACTTTAAGCACCAACTTCAGCGGCTCCAAAGGCTTGTCCTCATAGTCTGCAAAAGACAAGTCAGGCACAAAATCATTCTCAATTCAGCATTCATAAATGCATGATTTATAACACATAATTTCAAAATAAATTACAGATAATAATGGCAACATAGACGTTTCAGGCTTGTCGAGAATTAAATGACAAAAATCTTGTTTGACAGGTGCACGAATGTCAAACTCTACTCCCAGTTGCTCGCATGCACATAATGATCGCTTCATTTAAATTTATTAGCACAGAAATATCTACAAGTTACATTTTGCAATTAATTTAAAATCGTAAATCTGCTGTAATCAAAATATTATATTTTGGCGCCTGCAATCGATGATGCATTCAGTTTGAAATCTTGCAGTCAAGTTACATATGAGTTAGGCAAATTTAGCCAGTGCACGAATAAAAAATGAACTGCAGTTCCGATTAAGCAAGGGCCTCTAGGAAGTGAGTTTGACGCCCCCATTCCATTAAATGGTTAGTTAGCTATTGTAAGACTAAACCGAGTCTCCAATTACATAGTTACGTAGGTCGCAAACTAGAAAATCGATACGGCGGATAGAAAGATTTCAATATACGGGAGAGTAGCAAACGGCGTATTTAGCAGCGATTTAGGCGCAAGGCAACTACATACATACACTAATAACTACAACCACATATTGGCTACGCAGCCAGCTGATGAACCGCAACGCAGCAAAGGGCAAAATCAAAACAGACGTTAGCCAGCTTGCTAGCCACCGAGGCTAACCACCCGCTGCGGCCTACGGCAGCTTGCCGTGCAACTCACCTTCCACTGTTCTCCATTCCGACTTGTGTTTTTTGTGTTTCTTGCCCATTTCGCCGAAACTCCTTCTTGTGCAGTGACAGTACCTACTCCATTGTCAAGCCCCCCCCGCTCCGATCGCTCTGCCCCTCCGCTCCGCGTAGTCGTGAGCTAACAGGCCGTTTCCACCTCCTTCCGCCACAGTCTGTTTACTTCCGGGTCACAGGCAGCCGCGCGCCGACGTTTAAATTTTCGGACTTTCGTGTAGGTTTCTACCTGTATGGCCATTCGGTTACTTATTTTACTCAAGTTGTATGTGTAGTTAGCTAAATTCTTGTTATATGACAACCTAACATTATTTTCTAGCGATGAGACTCTGCAGCCCCCAAATAACTAGATAGTGTGTTCGACTAATTTGCTAGTTGTTAAATTGATTCTTTCAGACCTAGAGCTGTGCCAGTACGAAATGTCAAAATATTCAGAAAGAAATTTAGTTCATATTCGCCTTATCCAGATATACTGAATTTGGATAAACACCACTGGGGCTTCCGAAAAAAACTAACTTTCGAAGTTTGTTTTATGACAGGTATTGTTGAAGGCGACAGCATGGAGGTGATTGAAGATGTAAAACAAGGTCAAAATAATTGCATCGATGCGGTCAATATACACGTAGAGGTTCATGTGAAGTCTCACAGGTAATTTCTTTTATCTATAAAGCTCTGAATGTTTCTCAAATAACCGTCGACAGCTAAGGATTACGGCAGGATCTGAAAGATCATTTCCAAACACTTTTAAAGTTATAGTGGAGACAGGATGACCGGAAAATTCATGTCAGGGGGAAAACTAAGCTACTTCAGGTTTTACAAACTACTTTAAAAATGAAAGTCTCCTGTGCTTGGCTAAATAGTTAAATTCTTCTTGTGCTGTGATTGATCTGTTTCCTTGATTTACATTAACATTAGTGGCACATGCATGATTAAAGGAGACTGACCAGTCCACAGCATGAACTCGGTGCTAAAGTGAAATCTAGGTCGTTTTAATTGAAATGTAGAAATCCTGTCCTAGGTCAAAGTGTCTTTGCTGACATGGATTATCTGATCAGACTAAGCGCAGGACTCCTTTAATGTTCAACATTTAAACAGATTCATTTCTCACATGTTGAGCTGAGTATAAAAGATTTTGTCCATTTATGTATATTTGACTTATGTAATTCATTGTGGTAAATGTATGGTTATTTTTATGAAAAGGTAAATCCTCTGAGAACTACTTGCCTAAGTGGAATACTAGTGTCATGATTGTAGATAGAAATAATTACAGAAAATAAAAAGGAAAAGGGTGGGGAGAAAAACGCAAAAAGTAAGATATTTATTTAGTAGCTGGTTTGCCACTACAGTCCAGCGCTATCACAGGCAAACGAAATTATTAAAAATCAATCCCATGCTTCATCCACCCCTGAGCTCTAAAACTCTGTGCAATCTTGAAATGGGCAGCGTGTTACTTAACTAATCCAAATATGTGACATACCTTGATCCGCCACTGGTGCATGGCTGATATAAATGCACTTCCATTTGCAGCACTGCTAAAAGAGAGGACGTGAAGCTGCATGTGTTGGCTTTACTTAACCGACACCGGATAGTGTTCGGGAACTACAGCTGGACCGAGTTCGACGAGGAATTCCTGGCAAAGCACGTGGAGTCAGTGTCGATCGTGGATGCTGAGCGACAGGTAATAAGCAATGTAATGTAACATTAACAGTGGCAGACCAGTTTGCTGAGTTCTCATATATTTTGGGAATCCAGGTGTCCTAAGTCACTATGCTTTCATATTTTAATATATTTATATGTATATGCCTTCTGTTTTTGTTTTTGCCATTTTAAATTATGGGTTTATAATTTCTTCATTTGTAGATATTTCATCTTTTCATTTTATTCTAATTAATATATTACAGGTCTTTGTGTCGGAGGATAAGAATGATTGAATATTTGGATTGTTTTTCTCCCGCTGTCTTTTAGCAAATAGATTTGAGAAGCTGTTGTCTGTCCATGTACATCTTTACCCTTCATGATGACGGCCCGAGTACACTGAACCTGGAAGAGGCTGAGGATCTGTCAGCAGCCCATCACTGGCTCCTACCCTCAGGTGGGAGCCAGCTGTGCCTGAACTGCATTACTTATGGCTATTTGTAAATATTAATTTATTCTCATATGCATTGTTAAAATAGCAGGTTATCTTTATTGAAAAATGTTGAAGCTGGTCAAAAACGTAACCCTCTATTGAATTTTATTTTTAGATGGTAAAAAGTCATTTGCACACACCAGTTTTTCTTTACTCTGACCTCTGGGGGGTGTTCCACAAAGCAGCATTTCTTGCTTTATCGGATTACTTGTCAGATTTAAGGTAGCCCTGTTTAAATGGACTTTACCTTTGTTCGCTTACATTTAACCCAGACTACCTTAAATCTGACAAGTTATCCAGCTAAGTAGGAAATCCTGCTTTGTAAAACAGGCCCCTGTTCTAATTTCTCTCTGTGTCAATATCGCAAAGGTTCTGACGTAGAGCTGGACTATGAATTTTATATGTATTTCCAAAGGTGCCTTTAAAGGGGGCTAAGTTAGGATGATTCCAAGGGCTTCTGAGTGAGAGGGGCCCTAAAACTTTTGGAACATAATCGGACTGGTTTGGGTTTGAGGGCCAATATGATATGGGGCCCAAAATCTGTTAGCGGGACCCCTGTATTTTTCAGTAAAGGCTGATAGTTGATAAACAAACACCCCATGTTTTTCTTTTCCAGCTGAATTCCATGGTATTTGGGAAAGTCTGGTGTATGAGAATGGAGTCAAGACACAGGTAATAAATGCACATACAGGTTATATAACTGTTCTCATGGTTTCAGTCAGCCTGTCCTGCTCTGTTTTGCATGATGAAAGTAAATGTATTGAAATTCTTTCAGCTCCTGGATTACGTCTCAACGATGATTTTCTTTTCTGACAAAAATGTGGACAGCAACCTTGTAGCATGGAACCGTGTTGTACTGCTCCACGGTAAGGAGGAAAGACTTATTGTGTGACACTTAACTTGTTCAAATATTTGTATATTTGCTTGTGCTGTGATTCATTTGGTCGTTTAACGTCTGGTCATTTGAAAGTTTGTTTGTTAAACTTGAGCTCATGCTGGCTGGGATAGGATTAGCACATCCAGTAGGAAGTTACTTCCTGAAAGTTTGGTTTATTTATCCCTGACTCATGCTTTTAACAATGTGCTCCTGTCCCTCAGGACCTCCAGGAACAGGGAAGACTTCGCTCTGTAAAGCACTGGCCCAGAAGCTTTCCATCCGGCTCTTAAACAGGTCAGCTGATGCATGGGGACAGAAGGAGGTCCATGTCATGTGACGCTTCTCTGGCTGACACTAGACGTGTAAAATGTCATGATTCTTGCAGGTACTCGTATAGCCAGTTTGTGGAGATAAACAGCCACAGTTTGTTCTCCAAGTGGTTTTCAGAGGTAAAGCCTTTTCACTGTCTCTAGTTCTGTGTTAAAACAAAAAAACATGGATTTATATGGACATAACACTTTTTTTTCCCCCCAGAGTGGCAAACTTGTTACCAAGATGTTCCAGAAGATTCAGCAATTAATTGATGACAAAGAAACTCTTGTGTTTGTTCTCGTTGATGAGGTAATATATGATTCATGTCCCGATTTGCCATTCCCATTCCAGTTCTGATCCAGTTATCAGATGTGTATTTTGCAGTGTGGATGAAATGGTTTTTAAGGACATAGACTTGCAGTCTTAAGGCTGCAGATTCAAGTCCCTGGAGTTTCTCTGCTATTCTGTTTCTTCCTTCTCGGGAGTTTTTCCTTGCCACTGTAGCCTATGGCTTACTCACTGGGGGCTTTGGGTGGGGATGCTGTAAAGCGCTTTGAGACGATGTAATGTTGTGATAATGCGCTATACAAAAATACATTTCTTGTTGTGGTTCTGCTGCTAAGCTGGGAGTCACAGCAGTATAACTGTCCAGCTGTAGCAATCAAATCATATGCTGTTGTCTTTCAGTTATGCTTTGTCACACAACCCTTATAATGCGCGTTTGCATTATTGTTATCCATGCCGTCTGTTGCATGCAGGTGGAGAGCCTCACAGCAGCCCGCAATGCAGCCCAGGCTGGAACGGAGCCCTCGGACGCCATCAGAGTGGTCAATGCGGTCCTCACGCAGCTGGACCAGATCAAACGGTGAGTAACATGCGGTGGTTTGGTACAGACACTCTAGCATCCATCTCTAATAGGGCTGCAGATGTCACATCGCAATAGAATCACGATTATATGGTGCATGTGCAATAATCAACAGGGCTTTAGATGTCAGGCGTAAACATTTGTCTGGAAGCCGGCTTTTTGGTACTATACAAATCTTTACTTAAGCCCACAACAAGCAGATTAGTAGTACGTCTAAAACATTAATGAGATGCGTATTGTGATGTCCAAAAGTCAGTAGGGCTGTATACAGTCGCAATGTGGTATAATGCAGCCCTAATCTCTAAATACACGTCAGATTCAGTCTCGATAAGGCTGATCTTTGGCTTTGATTCTTTGAGCTATGACCTGAACTGTGATACATCTGATGATGAAACATCTGCTGATTATGATGGACAGTTGGGCTATAGGTTCACCATAACCGTGCACTGGACCAGAGGGATTGATGGATAATGTGTAAACAGTTACATTTACGTGTTTCGGTTTCTGGGATTGGTGATAGAGTACTGTCAACATTTGTTTTGAAGCTAGGTTTTAAGTGTTATATTATGTATTTTCACCCAGTGATAATCTAAGAAAGGTGTGATTAAAGGGAAGGGTTTCATTTTTTTGTCCTAAATTAAATATCATAATGCTTTTTAGAATGATTTTCCCACTGATGAATCCTTGGCCATCCTTTCTTTTTGGACGTATTAGACACTCAAACGTGGTGATCCTCACAACTTCCAATGTGACTGAGAAGATTGACCTGGCTTTCGTGGACCGCGCTGATATTAAGCAGTACATTGGTCCCCCATCAACTGACGCCATTTTCAACATCTATCTTTCTTGTTTGGAGGAGCTCATGAAGGTCTGCCTTAGCAGATGAGGATTGGCTGTATATGCTATGGTGAATAATGTCCGGTGCTGTTTGAGATGTGTTTTGAATGACTGCTGCGCTCTTTTCCTTCCACTTCCAGTGCCAGATCATTTACCCTCGACAGCAGCTCCTCACAATGTATGAGCTGGAGACCATGGGCTTTCAGGAGAGCAACGTGTCAGAGCGCAGCCTCGCTGTCCAGAAAATCGCAGCGTGAGTGTCCGCCTTCCTCCCTGTCCGCAGCACCCGACCGCTGCTCTGCGACATTCTATGCCAGTCATTCATTGGGAATTTTACTTCTGGACAAACTGAGTCTGAGTGTGTATTTTTTCTTTTGCGTTAACAGGAAGAGCAGAGGCTTTAGTGGCAGGGCTCTGCGGAAAATCCCCTTCTTGGCCCATGCTCTCTTTGTTAAGGTATTTGAGCTCCTATACGGCCTGTTGGGTCTTTGCGACTTCCCCCATCTGCGTTGTCAGCAGTATCACTCGCCTACTCTTTGTCCCCCAGACCCCAAAGGTGACCCTTGAGAGGTTTCTGCAAGCTATGGACCAAGCGGTCAGCCAGCAGATTGAGGAGAAAGCTAACTTAGTCAACTGCGTGTGAGATGTGTGGCGTCCTTTGAAGTCTTTGATGTTGAACTTCATTGTTGTCCGCATGGTTCGTATTGGCATCCGGTATCTGTTTTATCACATGAGAAAAATCCGGACATCAAACACAAAGTACCCTTAAAAGGCAGATGTGTTCATATTAATGTGATATCAGTGTTTGTTTCTATCCAGTTGCGCTTTACTGCGAAAGTCTGTAAAACTTGCACTGACCCTGTGATATATACAGCATAACTGTAAACTGTAAAGTGTGATGTCTATGTACATTTTTTTTTTTTTAAATATCTGATCTTCCTTACAACCACAGTATTGGCTACTACTTGTGGAACCTTGCTGGGCATTTTCTCTGTAAGCTCCCCGTATCTTCAGTCCCGTCCTCTTCACATGTAGTTAAGAGACGTTAGACAGGATGTTGCTGCCTTGAGATTAGTTCAGCCCTGCTCCTTCATGCCACTCACAGTACTACCCCTGTTCAGCTTATTGCAGTTCCTTTGTGTTCACTATTTGTGAGCTGATGAATAGCCAAGGAAGGGAGGTTCACACAATGAAACACCATAAGTACTAAACATGTATATGTGTATCCCGGCATTTAAATGGAATGTCATTCTTTAGTTTCCCCTCCAAAATGTTGTGATTACTTCAGCAACACTCCTCGTGCTTTTAGGCGACTGCTGTAAATTAACCTTGTGTACAGCAGGGTGTTTTGAAACATTGTTTTGTGGTTTTGTAAATTGTACCTATATTCCTACATTAAAAATATTTAAATCTTTTTTCCAATCCCCCCCCCCCCCCCATGGGAATGATTCCTCCAGAGTTTCAGCACAAACTCAGACACAGAGTCAAACAGGCGTATATTTTTATACTTTAAGATTCTTTCAGTTTACAGGACTGGTTGATTAAATAAATCTTTTATATGTTCCTAGAAGCACATCATACCTGGAGGGCCAGTACACAACCTGTTGCCCTTTTCACACTCAAAGTGAAAAATTCACTCTGTTATTCCCTGGTTGGGATGAGCACTCGTATGATTCTGCAGGTGTTTCAGTAATTAGTACAGGAGTGGTTGGGTTTGTTGTAGAATGGAAACGTGCCTCGAAATGGACCCAGAAGTGCCAGGAATTGAGTATATGAAACACCTTTTAGCGGTACCTGGTACATGGTTCTGCAAGGCTGTACCGTTTGGAAGAATGGGGCGAGGAATTATGGGGCACTCACTGGAATGAAAACCAGACACTTTCAGAAGACGTTCATTCCCACTCTACCTGATTCTTACCGAGTTCCAATGCAGAGCACAGCCCGCTGGCATCCTCTGCTGGCAAGCTGGAAGTTGTGTTGACTGCAGTAACGAGAGGGATTGTTCCACAACATATCCACCTGTGAAAGTGGCAATGCACTATGAACATAAGTCAGACCAGACCACTTCTTAGCCACAATAAATAGCCGATGAGGGATGTATTCCCTCTGACGTGACCTGAGCGTAATGTCTTGCCTCCCCTTCCCAAGGCTTTGAATGGTTTGCCAAGACGTCTTCGGGGAGACCCGATACCCACCCTCCTTGCTTCTCCAAACTCCTCCCATGTACAAGCTTTTGCCTCCATGACTGCCTGTCGCTGCAGCCTTTCTGGCCTGTCGGACCCTTTCAGCTGTCTCAGGAGACCTCAGTACAAGCAGTGGCCTAAAGGCTGCCTTCTTCAGCTTAACTTCCTCCACCACAAGTGTCCACCAGTGGGTACAGGGCTGGCCGCCAGAACAGGCACCGACTTCCTTCTGGCTGAAGCCCTGAACATGGTCCATTCAGACTCAATGTCCCCAACCTCACTTGGCACTCAGGAGAGGATTTTCCGGAGGTGTGACTTTAATTCATCTCACACAGAAGTTTGAGCCACACATTCTCAGCAAATAGCCTACCGACTGCTGACGTAGATCTTTCTGGTTTAAAAGGGATCCTAACCCCGACACTATCTTATTATTAGTTTCACTAGGTAAATACTAAGACTTTATTAAATGTCTTTACCTAAACTGATTTATATTTTTGTTATGCTATCGGTTTATATTTATCAAAGGCTAATTATAACGTTTAGTTATAAAAGTTTATGATCACGCCACGTCAGTAAGTGAGCTCCATCAGTTTCAACTTGTACCTTAACGGAGAAGATTTACTTACTACAACATCTGTTCAAGTAAGAATAAACCCATGTCTTTGGAGGGGGCTTGAGTTCTGTTCTCTGTCTTGTCAGTTTGTCATCAAATTGGATCCAGTTAAGACCGCTCTGGGTCAGCACAAAACGAAATAAAAAGTGCAGCCAATAGAGGACGCCATTAACACTGTGGGTTTGCGAGCGTGTTCTCTGCTTTAAACTGTTGCTCGCCTAGGCGCAGTCAGTGGTGGGGCAGCTTCCCTTTGCGCAGTGTGATTTCAGCGGAAAGTGACCCGTTTAGCAGAAAGTGACCCCACCACTGAGAAATAACAATGCACGTGATCGCTCTGTAAAAAACAGAGCACATTTCGATACAAATTTGTGCTTTGAGCAACGGACATAATCTAATCATGTCGATTAAGTTACCTCTACATCGTTGAACAATTGCTATATGGACTTCTAACTTAACAAGAACCTTTCCTGGGAAATAAAATGGGCAAACTCCAATCAAAACACGGTAAGTAATAATGTGGAATTAAAAGTACTCTTAATACGAGTATTCATATTAAATGAAAGTGCAGGTTGTAAATTGTTTCTTGTATTTTCTTTTTTTGCGATTAAAATCTAGCTTGCAAACGTAGAGAAAACCCTGAAGGTGAGAATCGTCCTTTCTTTAAAGCTCTGATGTATAAATGACATGACATTTATCCAGTTTTGCTTACACTGACTTTGCTGATTTACAGGAGACAGTTTGGTCATAAACGCCTCTCGTAGGGGGATGGAAGACTGCGAGCGCTTCGGTGCTCCGGAGCATAAAATAATAGATGGGCAGGTAAGAATGACTTTGCAGGGGACAAGATTTAATAACATTTGCGCACAACTCAGGGGGAATACGTGCATGAGCACGGACGTCTCATTGTGTGTTTGTCCGTTTCAAAAATCAATTTGTATATGCTGCTTAATTTTCTGAATGCAACGAATACAACTGCAGTAAACACTGCTTATAATAAGCAATAGAAATTGCAGTTATTCTAACCTGAGAATGCCCGAGGAGGTTAACTTGGGTTAATTCTGATGGGCCACTAGATGGTTCGCGATTAAGAGGTTGGTTCGAGCCGGATCCAGTGACTTAAAGAAATGATTTGTTAAACCACTGTGTATATAAATTGTGGTACACGGGGCTTATTTTCTATACAGGATTATTTAATAACAGTGAAAAGTTGAGGTACTAGTAATAAGTTAAGCCCTTGTTCGTTTTAGTAAATGTTTAAAAGTAAATGTGTGTTAATTATTCACGGCAGGGGGGTAGTGTTCATATCAACTCCAAAGGCTTAAATGCAAACTTAAAAACTTTAAGGCTGACCCATTTCTAAGGAAAGTAAGATGAAAGAGTGGATGACAAATGTGTCCAGATCATTCATCTACCTAACGTTTGGAACGAAAACAGTTGCTTTTAACCGGAAATGTCTTGCCACTTCTACTGTAGTTCGTTTTCCTGGCTCCACAGCTGCGATAAATTATACGAGCAGCTAGAGCAATAGGCCTACCAATTTTAAATTTTTTAGCATACTCGATTGCTGAAAAGAGCCATTTCTTTAAAAGAGAGATCATTCATTCTTACACGTTGTTGCAACTGGAAATAATTTACAACAATGTATGCTTCCAATAACTACTTTCAATAACAGCAGTTGCTTTTGTCTTCAAGCTGGAAAAGCGGTACATATGTTTCTTCTTTAGAACTGTCATAAATTCAGCCCCAGCATCCCACTGGATATTGTGCCAAAAGCATGACTCATTCTTACATAAATAAACAAATGGATTAATAAATAAAATGATCCTTTTGGCAACAGAATGCACGTGTCGGGTGTGAGAGTTGTGGTGCGGCGTCGTTCGTCATGTTTACCTGCAGGGCAAACTGCCCTCTAGCACCAAGGTTCTGGCCCGAGTAATCAGGAAATATTCTCCTTTCATACGAGCAGTAACGGCAAATGTCTGTCCAGGTAACTTTCACGGCTTCGAACCGACATCACCGCTGCGAGAGGTTTAATCTTCTAAAGGAGAGGTCGGTGTCCCCCAGCTTAGAGAGTCAATCAGATTCATGTCTCAGTGCCAGTTGCACTGTTAGTTCGACTCGGGTATGTCTCTCTATTTATAAATCAGTTGCGCCAGTGTCCTTACATCTCATAATATCAGTTTGAGTAGCTCGTCGATTAATTAATAATGCCTGAATTTCACTTAAACAATCATGCAGGGGGTGGCCCGGTGGTGCTGTGGTTAGCATGGTCTTCCCACACTCCTGCTCTTATGAGGCTTCCTCACATAGTCTAAAAACACTCTAAGGTGAATTGGAGTTTCCAGATTGGCTGCAGGTGTGAATATGTGTGTGAATGGTGTGTGTGCCCTGTAGTGGGGTGTCACTAACCTTGGGATAAGGTCCAAGTGAAGATTCCTAGAAAGTGGACAGGTGGGTAGTCAGTCATTATGTAAAGGCTATAGAGGAAAGTCCCAATGTGCGATACAGATGTAGCCTAAAGGTTTGTGACAGTAAAGCTTCTGGCTGGCGTTGTTTGTTTGGCGGCGGACAGACAGCCAGCCGTCGTTGCTTTATGGGGAATAGCCCCTGTCTCTCTGACAGCTATCGGTCCCTGAGGAGCACTTCGCTAATGCGGCTCGTGCAGATTTCAGCTGGTTAGACACTGGATACGAGGCTTTGGCTCTGGACGGACACTGGATATGAGGACTGATGTCATGGCTGCTGGCGGAATCACTGGGCGTAGTGCTTCCCCTCAAAAATAGCTTGTGCTCCCACTGGGCAAGTATTTGTGACATAATATTACATCACTCTAATTTGAGTATGGTGCTGAAAGATCTGGGCTGAAGGCATAATGACGAGAAAAAGTTACAAGGGTCTTTGTGAAGAGAAACAGGGTCCCCCAGGCATGAGGGAGGGGGCCCGTATCAGAGCAATTGCCCACCCAGCGACAGTCAATTAAAAAGCAATTTTCTTCACGCCAGAAGTCTTTTGGTGTCCCCCTGAGGAAAAGCACCATCAGTGCAGACTTTGTAGTTTGATGATAGAGGGTGGGTTGCACTTTCGATTTAATCAGAGGCCTTGCTTTGATTTATTTTTTTCTGTAGCCAAACCTCCACTCATACACACCCCAAGATTGACAAATGGGGTCTTTTAAAAATAATCCATTTGGTAATGTAACTTTCACACTGATTGCTTGTGCTTAAATTGAATTTGGACAGTAGGCAGCAAGGGCGTAGATTTTGTTATAGACGGTAGGAACATGTTCCGACCAATAATGTGGGAGGACCGTGTGTGTTTAGGGGGGCGGGGGAGTTCGAGACTGATTTAGTCCCTACCAATGTCGAAATGAAACCTAGGTACTTGCTTGGCAGTAGGTATCCTGTTGAGATAGAGGTCTGACTGATGCCTTGACATGGAAAACAACTATAAAAGTAGATTGTATCTATCGGCAGTATATTGGTGAAACCAGGGAGCGTTTTTATTGAAGACCAGCTGCAGTCTTGGGGAAGTTACTGGCAAAAGTAACCCATTAAAGACAGGTGGAAAGTTCAGGTCCAGAAAGTACAAGTCCAGACCAAGGTTTTGTTTCAACAGACCAGTTGAGTATAAAAAGTGAGAGTCACAGAGTACTCAACTGGTCAGTTGGGAAAAAAACTCTGGTCTGGACTTCTACTTTCTGGACCTGAACTTTCCACCTGTCTGTAATGGGTTAATTTTGTCAGTAAATTTCCCAACACTGACCAGCTGAAGATGGTCAAGCAGTTACATGTTTTTAGCATTTACCAAAATAGACAAATTTGAAGGGACTTTGGCAATTCTCAGCATTCTACCAACCAGAAGGTCTTTTTCTTTAGGAGGCCCAAGCAGGGTATGTCTGTGCTTCTTGGTTAGGCCTCAGTCTACTTCACGCAGTCTTCATATCTAATTGTGAAGTCTGTGTAGTAAGTGTGACCTTACCCCTAATTCCCTTCCTTGGCTCTCCTGAAGACCACAGCATCCCTCTCAGCGAGAAGGAGCCCCGATTCCTGCATCCATGCGGCCCACGGTTGATTAACGGCTGCAAGAAACAGATGTCGCCGTGAAATATGCAAGGCGATGCTATACCGAGCGTGTTTTTCGGGGGGAAGCAGAGGGAAGGCATGCGCTGTGCATTTTGGGCTCGGCCCAAGCCTCCTTAGAAAAGCCATGCCCCCCCCCCCCATCTCCCAGCAGAGGAACGTATAATGGAGTGCAGCTGGGCAGCGGTCGAGGCGGAATTAAAAAAGAAAAAGAAAATAAAGCGTATGAGCGGGATGCTTGAAAAAAGGCCAGTGCATGTTATTGCTCTTTGTTTGTGTGTTTATTTACTTTTTTGTTTTTTCACACACATAGTCTCACTTTTTATGTTTTTTAATATTTTACATACATTCCCTGAACAGGAATGTTTACAAAATGTTCCAGATCCTTCTTACTAAAGAGCAAACATTGGAGTAAAAGGCTGACATCAGCTCAGGATGGATCATCTATATCAGCATTTGTTCTTAATTTGCAGATGAATGAATTTAATTCAAAGGCTTTAATAGTCGTTCATAATGGCTCCTGCTGTTCTCAGTCCTAGGAATGACATTTAACGAAGCTGTAAATCAGATCCCTTTTCTATTTAAGCTTGAAGCAAACCGATGAAACGGTTAACAGACGTGTATGACGTTTCTCCGGTCTGAATAAGTAACTTGGCTGGATGGGGCAGGCACTGACGTGTAGGTGCCCTGCTGAAGAGTCAGGCCTTTCCCAGTGAAATGTCTAACGGTAAAGGCAGATATAAATACCGCTTTGGAGGAATGCATCGGCTCTGCAGCTAAGTGTAGAGTGTGAGAAACACATCTGCAGTTCAGTCAGCTGCACCTGGGCCAACAATGCGCTCGGAAAAAATCTGATATCGATTTGGAAAATACCATTGCTGGATATATTGTGATTTTGTTTGTGTTCCTCTGCTCATACTACGTAGACAGGACTACTTCCATAGAGTGACAAATGAACCTTTGTGATAAAATTACCCAAGGATTTTGCCAGTCGTGGTTTATTCTACTCAGGAGTGGTGGCCACAGTATGGTAGCTGACTAATTTGAAGTAACACTTGTCTTGTCTCTCTTGATATCTTTGGTCATGTGACTGACATTCCGACGCAAAGACTTCGCTATTATGCAGTAAGACAGGAGTTTCTGAGCTTATTACAGTGACAGCTGAGGCTTCTAGGGAAATAATCTGATGGGCACTAGCAGACAGTGGTTGGTGACCATGGCTCTAAACGTTTGTTTATAAAAATATTTTTAAAATGTGATTTCTTAGTTTTTTCCACTTTCTTAATGTGTATTAAAAATGAACATTTGAAGTACAGGTTTACGTATTGTTGTGGAATCTTTAAAAGGGTAAGAATTTAGCGTCGTTAAGGAAAGAAGTAAAGGTTGAAAATGAACCTGTCGCCGTTGTAAGAAACGCCAGTCCAGGGTTCTGGGGTTTCATTTTCTGTAGTGGAGTAAAGAGCGTCCAGCCAAGGTGGCTGATACTCGCCTACAGCTGAAATACTGCTCGACGTCCATGTCTCTCTGGGATTGGTAGCCTGGTTTTAGGCTCTCTGTCTCATTATTCAGCTAAATGTCCGATGAGAGGCGATGTTGTGTTTCTGAGATGCATCGGGGGGAGAGGTAGGACCCTGCATTTGGTTGCCCCCCC